CTACACTCCCTGAGAAAGAGTCCCTCCCCACCTTCCCTGCAGCCCCCTTTAAGCACTGGCAGGCCACTGTAAGGTCTCCCTGGAGCCTTCTCTTCTCCAGGCTGAACAACCCCAGCTCTCTCAGCCTGGCCTCACAGGGGAGCTGCTCCAGCCCCCTGAGCATCTTCGTGGCCTCCTTTGGACCTGCTCAAGCAGGTCCACGTCCTTCTTATGCTGGGGCCCCCAGAGCTGGACACAGCACTGCAGGTGGGGTCTCATGAGAGCGGAGTAGAGGGGGAGAATCACCTCTCTCAACCTGAGAGGGATTTGGATTCCATGACCTGGATTGTGGTCATGTTGCTTCCCCCATATTTGTCCTAGGCATCCAGGAGTTTGATGCGTCTGGTGCTTCAGGAGCTGCCTTGTAAGTACAGCAGAGCGCGTGGGGACAGGGGAAGAGGTATTTTGGTTTCAGTCAGAGCAGCTCAAGATCTGTACTCTGGTTTTCTGTGCCACCAAAGCTGTTGGGATAAAATGTATATACCTAGAAAAAAAACTTTTTTAAACATTATGTTTTCCCAGATTACTTTTTACATTAGGAGAAAATTGGGTGGTCCTGTCTATGTTTATTTGAAAAAACCCAATAGAAATTAACATGGATAAAATCTTCACAACTGTGACACCTCTCTAATTATGAATGCTTCAAACCTTGTTTGTCAGAAAGCTCTGCTGGACTTTCCAAGCACTGATACAGAGCCACGGCTGCTGCTTTCTCCCCAGGAGCTGCCTCTCCCACCAGTCACTACCAGCATGTTGGCAGTTTGACGAGCTCTGCAGAGGCTGGCTGCTTGAAATCACCACCTAGTCATAACGAGCGCGCAGCAGGCTGTCCTTGCCTCTTCTGCCTCCTCCTATTTCCCAGCTAGGAATCCTATTTACTCAGCCATCTTTAAGCACAGGTCTGATTCAGTATTGTATTTGTCATCCCCAAATTTCCTGATTCAAGTAGAAGGGCTGAAAAGTAGCAAACGCAACACTGCACCTGGTGGGGTCCAGCACTGTAAAAATGCCTGTCTAAAGGCTGGAGCAGGGCTCTCCTTTTACATAAATTAAATATGTTTTAAGTTTCTTACAGAGGGAACTGTGTGTTTCCTTGTCAATCACTGTCTTGTGCCAAGTGCTCAGCTTTCATTCTGGGTCTGTTCACCATCAGCCCTGTCTTCAATTTATTCCATATAAATTGAGATGCTGTAATTGGACTTCTCCAAGTCTGCACAGCCTCGTCCTAAAGTACCCCAAGTGTCTTATCCAGGTTTCGATTACTTCTCTGATGGACTACAGGCATCCTGCTTGTTTGTTTATTAGGCAGCTTTCTATCTCAGTTGTAGACTTAAGAAACTATATCATTTCACTTGCATAGCTCCAGTAATTAGGCTTCCTGCTTTTCTAGTTTGGCTGGTGCTACCCTAGCCTGTATAAAGAGAGCAGAAGGAAGAGGTGTAAGGAGGAAAATGTTACCACTGGTAGCAGTCAACTGTATAAGGTAAGAACCATGGTCATACATGTCAGATGATGAATCCTGTAAAGCTGGGGTGTTGAGCAGACCAAAAAGGTACTAACAGAGTGCCAGAGACCCAAAAGAGTAATAAGATAAGATAGATTACCTTTTCACAAAAACTGCTTATTGCCTTTTTCCATTGTCAACCTGTATAACATATTCACTGGGAAGATGAACTTGACTTGGGGTTGCGGATATACATCTGAATCTTCAGCAAATGGCAACATGCATATAACAGGTTGCTAAAGTACAAATATTCTGATTTTTCACCTGAAATAATACCTGAAATTAGAAAAAGACTGAGAATTTTTAGAAGCCATTTATCTCCTGGAGAAGGAAGCCTGTCTTGAATGCATTTGAAGGTGCTGCAAATTAGAAATATTTTAATCACGTGTTCCCACTGATGAGCACACATAACAGCAACAAATATTTATCCAGAGGGATGAACGCAAGAATCAGTTTTGGCCTTAAGCTGTCACTGCTCCTAGCCAGTCACATATTTCAGGGGTGGGTCTTGCTGACATGCCATCTTCCTTGCTGAGAGCATTGGGGTGTCTCCAGCTAGCTGCTTGCCAGCCCTTCCCTCCCTTCACTAGGTTTCTCCCAGTCTCTTGTCAGGCTGTGCCAAGTACATCGGCCATCGGAGCCGGTCCATCTGCCAGCCTTTCACAGGGGAACAATCTGGGGCTCTTTTTCTGGAGGTCTGCGGTACTGCCAGGATCTTGTACGACGTGATGCACTACAGGAGCCTGACAAAAGGTTAAATCAGGCACTTGCCTGGCACCGTTTTAATTACTCAATAGGACAGTGCAGGGTACTGCCTGCCAGAGCTGCTGCTCGTTTAGCCACCCTTAAATGTTGTTCAGGCAGGAAGGAGTTTTAATAAATCATTGCCGAGCAAGGAGCATGGATATAGTGCTGTGTCATAGAACAGGACATTTTTAAACTAATTTCAGTCTTTCTGGGTCACAGTTCAGATCCTTTCCTTTAAACTCCTGAAAGGGAATTCAATCTACACTTAGTGTTAAGGGTGGGGGTTTTTTCCCCTTTGGCAGAGCCTTGAATGCTTTCATTTTTCAAACAGAGAGGCTGATCCCATAACCCAGATGAGGAAGCTGCCTCATAGGCATGACATGGATCAGCAGGAGAAACTGGCCTTTATGTATAGGGTCTGAGGACCAAAAAGTATGACTTGAACACTTAGCTTCCATCCTCATGACAAGTAACTGGTTTCTGTAGTAATATTAACTATAGCCAATACAATTTTAAGGTTAAATCCTGAAAAACTCTGGAAGAAGGCAGATGAAGTTCAGTTGTTAAAAATGCAATGGGATATTATGGAAGGGCTTTCTGAGTATGATGATTGTATTGGCAGCAAAACTCCACCAGGGCTAAGTTGTCAGAGCAATTTCAGCACAAGTTTTTGGTGCCTGCTTTCCAGCTGCAAAAAATGCACATGTATTATCAAGTTTTTTCAGGCCCGGAAAACTGGGTGCTTAAAATTGACTGAGAATTAATTATGTAGTTATGGATTAAACTATACAGGCACAGAATGTTTCCTTCAACTGATTCTTCATGCAGAGAGCAGGGGCTGTGAGTGCCCATTCAGCTTTCTTGCTTGAGAGTCACCGGACACTTTGTCTGTGAAAGGTGGTGCCAGAGATGCCATATCCAGCCTTTCTCCCTGCTTCAAAGTGAGAGCGCTAGCCTTGGCGTGCAAGATAGTAGCTCTAAAAAAAACCCACAGCATCAGTGCATAATTCAGATCCCTCTTCATTACTGATATCTCTATACTGTATCTCAGGAAGGACTGTCAGGGCACGGGGTCTCAAACACCTGAAAACCAAGGGGGCCGTGAAGAGCCCTGGCATTGCTGGCTGGAAGGAAAAGTTGTTTGTATGTGGCAGCAGCCACAGATGCTCTATTTAGCTCGTCTGCAGTGGCCTGGCAGGCAGGGCAGCAGCCCTGCTTCTTAGCCTTTCTCTGGGTTTATTGCTTTGCACATGAAATTAATAAGATTTGTCATAAAAAATATGCACATTGACCATCTGTGTTAATAATTGACTTAACGAGGATCTAACCACCTCTAGCCCATCCCAGACAAGTTAATTGAGAGGATTGTGTTTATAATCTGCCTTGAGAGTCCTAATCTCCTCTTCCGGCGCTGCCAAACCACGGATTGATTGATTGATTTTGGTCTCTTGGAGCAAAATAACAACCTCCTGTGACAGACTTTGGCAGTTTCCCAAGGAGAAAGTACATGGCATGGGAAACCAGAAAAAAAAAAAAAAAAAAAAGGATAGTTCATGGTGTTTAAATGAGGGTTGATAAATCCTGCTTCCTGGAAAATGTGAACCAGTAAATGTCGAGCTCTTAGGTATGTTTCAGGTCCTATGAAAATTCTGTTGTTGTTAGCAGGGAACTTGTATTTATTTGTATAGATGTTGGATGGTGAAGTTTTTTCTGAGAATTGGTGTGAGGGGTTTAAAGAACAAAATAAAACATGAGGTCAGCCCTGCCTTTTGAGGGGTGGAAGATGAGGTCTTACAGAGGTAACTCTCCCCTAGGTCTGGGGACCTCGTCTCCAGAGGAACTGTCTGACTACTTGAGCTGCTGCATGAGGAACAGGCCAGGTGGTGGCAAAACACACTTCTGGAGGGAGAAGGGAAGGTCACCCATAAAGAAAGACTGCTGGAGACTGCCACCACAACTGAAAAATTGAAAATTTCAGGAAAACATGCTGGAGAGCTTGTCGGGAGATCTAATTCTTCATTGTGTGCCAAAGCCAGACTACCTGCACCTAAGCTATTTTTTGGTAAATATTTTTTGTAGGTAATAATTCTAAGCGCAAGATAGCTAATATACTCGCTCTGTACAATATTTTGTCCATTTTGAAACAGCAGATCACTTCCCTGAAAAAAATCCCAGTTCTTTCCTATGGGCAGCTAATGTATGATGTAGGTGCCAATCCCATAAAGCTAGGCATGTACTTTTTCTCTTCAGGAAAAGTGGGCAATCCTCCCTAGGATTCAAAGAAATTTTGCATCCAAGGTTTTCAGACATGGGCAGCATCTGCATTGGTATAATAAATATTTCTTCTGGGTGAACAGAACACATCCACAGACAGCTTCTTTACTTTTTTTTTTCATATGTGGCTTGTTAAGTGTTTCTACTGTTCAAACCACTGAGCTATATATGAATCTCTTTGAACTTACATTCCTTTCATTATCCACCTTACCCTCTTCAGCTTCCTGGGAACCAGAGCCAGTGCAAAACAGGAAGCCTGCCAGGAAAGTCCAATATCTGAGTGTGATATGAGATTACAACGCAAATCTAATAAGGATAGATTAGTTTTATTTCCCATTTAGCCACGAGCATTGCTAGTAGAACAAGATATTAAATCAGACTTCTAAAATTGTACCTGTACTCTGAGCAGCTGGTCAGCTGTACTGATCCCCAGCCCTGGTACTTTCTCTTGCATCCTGAAAGACCACAGCCAAGACTTTCCAGAAGCACTGCAAGCCAAATGCGTCTCTGATGTATTCAGGTAAATCACTGAAACGAGCCTGAAATGATTTTGATTCAGCCTCCTGCAAACAGATCTGTGGCACTTCTAAACTTGTTTTTTTTCATGCAACTCTGTGGTGGGCTTTTTCTTCCTCCTTGACAAGCTCTTTGTTGCATGGTAGCATCTGTTAGAGAAATACACCATATGAGTCTGGAATTTTAAAGGGAGAAAGGATGACTGGTAATGGCTGCAGCTGCCTTAGTTTGCATGATGTTTGCTGCTTCGGCTGCTGTGCAGCTGAGCAGGGGGTAGGGGAGGGATGTGTCCTCTGGAGAGTCTGATTCACAACAAGTCAACTTGGTTCAGTTCTGTAATGAGAGATTTTTTTTTCCTTATTTGCAATTAAAATGTCAAATAACATTAGAAGTATTTGATTTGTGCTCAGTCACAGTGCAATTCTCCTGCTTACTGACTTTAAGGAAAGTCTTGCAAGGTGCTTCCCTTTTTTTTTTTTTTTTTTTTTTAATCCCATTACAGTAACTGACTGAAATTAATTTACTGACTGAATCATTGATTTTCCAAGGGGCAGAAGGTGGCTTCAGCTTTTTGAGGAACATAAGCGGCTTCCCTTGTCTACCCAGTGGTGCTCTTTTGGGGACACACAGTCTGGAAATGACCAGGTGCCACCCATTGACTCGGGCAGTGCTCTGATTAGGCTCTTAAACCCACTGAGCCGCTGCATATTCATTTCAAAAATGGAGGCAATCATGCAAAATAGAAGTTAACTGCTCTGGTAGAGGTCTCAGATGATTTCATTGCCATTAGCAGCATTGCTAATCTTAATCAGCTGTGGAGACGTTAAAGCATAACCTCATTTCGGGGAGGAGGAAGAGAGGTGTTCAGTGGAGTGGTGCCTGTGTGTCGGCAGGTCAGGAGCAGGCTCCCGGGAGGGGTAGGTCACACGTCAGTGAAGGAAATGGTATCTAGGACAAGGAGTCAAACTGGGAGGGCTGGAGGAGGTGAGTGCTAACCTGCTCTTGGTTCACAACCAAAACTCCAGTCCAAGTGACACTTAGGGACAATTTTCATGATGTGATTATCCCTCCTCCACTTTGGACAACAAATGTGTGATTAGTGACTCTTAAATCTCCACTAGTTGGTAGGTCGTGTTGCACTGAAACAAGAAGCAGCAGTACAGGCCATTCCTAGTATTGCTTCAGGAGGTGACAGACTCAGCTAGAAACATAACACCTATTTTTTGTGGGCAGTAACTCTTACAAACCAAGTAAAACTAGAAATCTTTCTCAATTTTAGCAGTGGTTGAAAGTTTAGGAACTCATACTGAATGCTGAAAGAGGTGTTATTTGTCGAAAGCTATCTTAATTCCCCATGTTTTTCTCCAGCTACTTGGCCAAGAGTGCTCTGGGAGGAGATCGGTGTGCAGCTCACGTTGCTGAGCTAACGAGTCCTCGCAGGCTCCTTAGGGCAGGTTCACATTATGCCTTTGAGCATGGAGTGAACCAAAAGGAACCACTTCTGAAGTAGCTAAATGTTACTCTGGTATAGTCTGGAAAATGTAATTATGCAGAAATATCCCAGAAGCTTCCTATTCTCCATTTTACTTTCTAGCTACTCCTGTGCTGTATTAAATCTGTCTAACTGCGGGCTGTTAACTCTACTGAGACACCCATATTTAGGAATGCACTTGCCCTATGCTGCCCTCATATAAGGTGTGCTCAGCTCTGCACTGCCTCCTGGAAGTGACCCCCCTCTTTGTCCAGGAGCTGGATGAGGTGTCCTGCTCTGCAAGGCACCAGGCTAAAGCACCTCAGGAGTCCAAACACAAGCTCCACAGTTTCTTCTCTGCAGAGTCAGGCTCAACATGAAAAACAACCTCTGCTTTGATTTTCTCATTTGTACTTCACCGCCTTTTCTAAAGAGGCATGTAATTAGGGTATAGTGGACAATTTAATAGATGATGGATGTGATGGGAGAGAGATCTCACTTTGCCGTGGTTGTTTCTGACATGCTGATAACATGAAAGGTATTTATAGAGCTGCAAAGATACTACATGCAAACAAACTCATTAACATTGGATGTTTTCAAAGTATTCTGTCAAAAAAAAAAATTAATATCCAAGTTCTGGTTCTCAATGTCACTGTAACTTGACCTTTTATTGCTGTAAATTACTTGGTTTGGTTTTTTGTTTTTTGTTTTTTTTTTCAATAATGAAAAGGCAGCTGCTGCCCTCACTGCTACTGTATCTGAAGTTAACTTTCACACCTTTAATCTTTTCTATTTGATATTTTTCTTCAGTGGTGAATTCTAACAAGTCTGCTGTGTTGAGCTCTGGCCAGGCGGCTGTGTGTCTGCAAGAAGGTATTTGCATACAATAGTATGGAGAATTTAAATTAATCAGAGAACAAAATCCATTAGAGGTAGTCTGCACAGTAAAATGAGCTGTACAACCCATCACTTTGAATGTGAACCTAAGGTTTTTGTTTCTGATCAAGTGGTTTGTTTCTTGTCTTGATAACTCCCTCTTTCATACAGAGCTCAAGATAAAGCCCCACAAGCTGTGTTGTTGAAAAGCCCTTTCTCAGACTCCTGTTCTCTCTTGCTGGCATGATTCATGAAAGCTGCTCCAAGCATTGTCTCTGAAGCTCCTGCCAAAGTGACCAGGGGATGACATGGCCCTTCTGGGAGGCGTCAGTGGAAACCTCAACCTTGTAGTCTAACATGAGCAGATGTTTCCCAGCACTGGCAGTGGGTTATCCTTTCCTAACAAATGTCTTTTTTTTAAAGCTATGGGTGCCATTATATTTTGTTACACAGTTACTAATCTACTCAGAAACATTTTCGTAAAAAAGGTGGAAGATGAGATGTACAACTGAAAAGTCTTTAGCTGAGGCAGTGCAAAATGAGGGAAAGCACAGTTTGTGCTGTAGCTGGAAAAGGGAAAACAACCAAAGAAAGCAGGGCTGGTCTCACATGTGCCTTCCATTTAATTTTGAAAACAATGACTCTGTAGAGTCTTTAATTTTTTTTTTTTTTTTTTTTTTTAATGTCTGGCTGGCTTTCACACAGTGTTTTTTTATTGGTGTGTAGTTGTTGGGTCAACATCCTTTATATTTGTTTTGTTCATTGGTTGCACTTTTTATACTCTGCTTTTTCAGTAACTTGCACTTTGCACAATGCAATGTTCAACAGCTTACCCTGATGGACTGTAATTCAGCAGAAATGGCATTAATTGGGAGCAGAGGACTGTAGGGACCTGTGGCTGGAATGGCAGAGAAGGTGAGGGAGCTGATCTTCTTCCATTTATCCCCAAATGTACACTCTCTTTCTCTGAAACATGAACTGTAAGTTAGGCCTTCTAAGTAGAAAAGCTACACTCAGCTTTTGCAGTCCTTCTATCACAGAAACACAGAGTCGGAGATGTGCACACGGAGGAACTCAGCACCAGATCACTCCTTGTGATCCTCCTGCACTCCCAAAAGGCATCCTGTTGCCTTATCTGAAAGACTTTGTAAACACGGAGTGGTCACAATGAGATTTTTCCCACAGGCAGCAGGAAGAGGGGGCTTAAGGGCTATAGTCCTTGTCTATCCATTCATTTTAACTTGTAGTTTCAGGCAAGGCTGCTCAAAAGCAAGTTCCCTGCTTACAAAGTGAAGAAAGCAATATTTACCAGTGGGATGGGCAAAAGGCATAATTAAAGAGCCATCATCCAGCTGGATTTGTCCTCAAAATGCCCATAGGACATAATGGCAAATGAAACATTTGTAGAAAGAGCCGTCATGAATTCTGCCGGCGTTGGCAGCGGGGTTGGGGCAGGTGGTGGAGCAGCCCCGGCACCGGGGCAGGCCCAGCCCGAGCAGGGAGGCGGCCAGGGCTGAACTGTTCTTGGTTTTCTCCCACGCTCCGAGCTCTCAGTGAGGGAGTAGCGATGAAAAGTCCATTCAGATCTTTACACATCTTTCACCTGGGAAAATTGCTGTTGAGAGGGAAGCGTGTAGGCCTTGCCATGCTGCTTAAACACCCCAGCTGAAACCAGGGCTGCATTATGTCAAACACAGTGTGAGGTCGTGAGCGTGTAGCTGTGAGGGATGAGGAGGAGGAGGTGGTGGAGAAAGCAAAGACCCTTCTCTCTCCTCCCCCACGCAGAAGAGGCAGGAGAAAGGCATGAGAGCTAAGGGTGGGAAGGGGAGATGGAGGAAGCAGGGGGTTACTGAAAAAAAAAAACAGTGGGGATCCTACCTCCACCTCAGTGCCCTGTCCCCTGCCATGTTGCCCCCCTGCCTGTACCACCTAGTCATCCACCCCTCCACGAGGTGCCGTGGCCAAACTTGTCTGCCAGCTACAGAGTCATTATTACAGTTTTCAAAGCAGTTCAAAGGCAAAACACAATGACAAAGTTAGAGTTTCTGTGCCAAGCAAACCTGAAAGGTTAGTTTACTCTTTAATGAAATTCCTGCTTCAAAGTCTCCATCTCTTTTTCACTGGGGAGAAGCACTTTCTTTAAGCAATGTTTAGAGGACACCAGTCTGCAAGGGTATTCATCCTCGCCTCTGGCAGGAAGAGCTTGTGCACTAGCATTTCTGAAAAGGCTCTCTTTGTGAATAATTGAATTTGTCTCTGGAGTTCAAGATTTCTTTTTCTGTGGGACTGACTGCAGCTCTGCTTCTTCCTTAGGTGCAGCTTACTGTAATTGAGGCAGAAGAATTGTGCTGCTGTTGAGGGGTTAGTGAGCATGACGCATAATAGGGGTGACTGCCATGGAAAGAATAATTTGTAGTGTTCAAAACGCCTCCTCCAGTGGTGAACGGATCTGCAGAAAATAATTAGAGGATCCCCCACTGCCACCCCCACTCCCACCCAAGGGGAAAAAAATTAATGTTGTGTGAGGAACAGAGGCATCCCTGGGCGGCGGTCAGAGCCCCACGCTGCAGCGCACTGTCGGGGCCCCATCCTGGGCGATGCCTGGAGCCCATCAGTTCCTGCCAATGCTGCCACTGCCTGAGGCCAGCCAGGCCAGCTCCTTGTCCAGCCCAAAAGAAAATGCTGTGGTTCGCATATCCCCTGACAAAATGTGTCTCTTGCCTGGGCATAGCTTCTTTTCCTTTAAAACCTCCCAGCCTTGCAGTGGTTTCTGGGTCTCTCTGACAAGGCATGTGTAGTGTGATAGAAAAACCTGCACATCCCGACTCTGACACAAACATCCCTGCAGCTGCACCACCAAGGAAAAGCCAATTACAGATATGTCCTCCCTCCATTGAGGGGAGGGCAGTGAGGTCCACTGCCCTGGACATGTTTCAGTACCTCCTCTCATCCCCGCCATCTGTAACCTGGTGTGTAACATCCCACCATGGCACCTACCAAGCTTCCCCTGAGTAACTTTTCAGGAAAAAGGGTGGTGAGGGAGGAACCTCTCATAATAATTTGCACTGCTGTGAGTGGGACCTCGTCTCTGGTTCCCGGGAAGAGATGGCTCCCTGTCAGTAGGCTGCAATAAGTGGTGTGTCTCCAAAGTGGTTTTTGATGTTGTATGCAGAGGCAGGTCTTGGCTCTTCACACACATCAACATCAGCAGAGGCATGAATGACCATTTCAGACTTTGGGCTTAAGGTAGGAATTGGGGCAAGACACGGCTCTGAAGTGAACAAAAATCCATCCAGTTGGGAGGTTTCTTTCTTGTCTGTCTTTCATTGCTAAGCACAGCTACAAAGCTGGGTAGCTGCATTCAGCCAACACAATGCAACATGACAGCAGTATATTTTTAGGATGTTATTTTAGGAGAGGAAACAGATTCTAAGGGCAAGACATAGTGATCTAGTAAGTCAAACAAGCTGCTCAGGGATTTCTGTGGCTATTGAATATACCACATGGCACTTGGGCTGTCTTGTTGAATTGTAAGGTATGTTTCAGATCAATAAAAAGGCTCACTTGAGACTTTTTTTTTTCCCCATGTTACACAAAATGCATTCTCTCATGGTGCAAAGCTTACATGAACTGATCATCAGGAGAAGCTAAGGTAACTGCACTCATGAATGAAAGCCCAGATTCCAGATTGAAATCCAATTTTCTTGGACTCTAGTATCTGCAGATAATCTCTGGGTTCTTTGTGGTCTCTATTCTCAACTGGAAACAGAGCATGTGTCTTTAATATTTTTACTCCCTTCTGTGGCTGTCAATTACAATGGATTGAATATTGTGTTCATCCTCAACTTCAAGACTTCTTGATCCTCTGAAACAGTTCTTCCTCCGTTAGGTTTCTCAGTGACAAGCAGAGATTTCATCCTCAGATACAATTCCCTTAGCAGTAACCTGGGCATCCAGTGCATTTACCACAATCACTTTTAGTATATTTCCTTAGGTAGGGGAGCAATGCAGACAAAAAATTAACTGTGCAGCAGCATTTATCCTCCAAGAAATGTCTGGAGGCCTGACTGCAGCCTGGCCAGCCCTATTAATTGTTCCATCTGGAGACCTTAGCCTGTTTAAACATACTACCAAAAGGTTGCAGATGCACAAATTAGGGAAGTGGTACAGAAGTTGTTAGCATCTGGTAATGCATAAAATAGGGAAATGACCAGTGAGATCTCTCTTTTTTACCTTGAACTCTGTTCCTTACATGCTGGTGCTGTGGGGAGTTCTGTGGTCAGCAAAAGTAGACAGTCAAGAAGGAAATGGAAAACAGTTGGGAAGAAAATTGCAGGTGGTGGCTGCAACTGCCATGAGCGGGGCCTCGTGTCTGACTGCAGGGAAGAGACGGCTCCCTGACGGTAGGCTAAGTGGCGTGTCTCAGAAGTGGATTCTGATGTCGCATGCCGTTTTCGTAGGCCTTGTCTGAGCAGCACGGAGGTGTGCCATGAAAAAAAGGGGCCGACAGAGGCACATAGGCCCCCCCGAAATTGTTTCAGAAAGGACATGTCAGGACCCGGATCACCCAGGGATGGACCAGCCACCCGAGGGAGGGCACTGCTGGTGGAGGGAGGTGCCTGTTTAAGGGACTGTGTCATCCAGGCCTGTCCCTTTCTCTGTGCGGGCGGGTGGGCTGTGATCGGCTCTCTCCCAAAGCCCGGAGGGTGGGTTGTCCTCAGCCCCCCGAGGCAGGGAGCTGTCAGGGGCAGTCAGCCTCCTGCGCTCCCAAACACCCCTCTCACCTCAGGAAGAGCCAGGAGCTAACCTGCGTCCTCTCTGTGTACATGAGGTGTCCTGCCCCGCTCTTTTGGTTTTGAGGAAAAAAAGTGTGATAAGCAAGAACTGAAATGTTTCTTTCTGAAAAGCTGCCAACAACAGCTCTAATTTGCATAAGACTTGCCTGCAATGAGATGCTCTGCTGACAGGTGTATGCCTAGTTTATGGAAATGTAGTGTGCTTCGAGGACAGTTCGGAAGGGTTTACAGGTGACCTGCAATAAGGACAGGTCATGCAACTGGCAGGAACCGCACCCTTCTGTCTGAGGGTGCTGCCATTCCCAAAGCTACCAGCTGAACAGAGTGAGGTATGGGGCTTAGCCGCACCAAGTGGTGCTGTCATGTGGGATGCTGTAATTATTCATCCTGCAGAAAATAATTAATGGTCTTCTTTTCAAGGAAAAAAAAAATAATCTGGAAAATTTTTAATTCACTTTGCTTTAATTTAGGGGGATTGGGTTTGTTACTTTCCTGTTTTTTTTAAAGACAGGGAGTGTAAAGAGTCTGGAAATAGTATATTTGAGCTATTTTGGACTAACACGTGAAGGAAATAAACTAGGGGGGAAAAAAAAAAAGTAAGCTTTTTTTGTGCTCTGTGTACCATATATTCAACCTTAGACACCTGACAAGTTTTTGAGAAAACATAAACCAGTAAACTTCTTACTCTGAGTTTACCTGAAAAAATAAAGGAAAAAGAACAAATGGTCTTCAACATGGGCTTATGGTATAGGTAGTGATTTCAACATAAAGGTTTCACAAGATGTACTAATGTTATCGCTCTGGCAGGAAACTGAGGTTTTCGCATTTAATGAAGCGTTTCTTTGAAGTCACGCTAAAATGATGAGCGTGACTGTGCTGCACATCTGCCCGTCTGCACAGGGCAGCCCATTTCAACTTCCTTTTCCGAGACACTGCCAGGAGCAGGCCAAGAGAGCTACGTCTTTACCAAAACTTCATCAAGTGAAGATGGACAAAAGGTGGCTCTTCTCCCTCTTTTGTTTGCTGTCGGTGCCCAGCGTTGCAGGTAAGCGCCTCAGCGGGATGCCTTGACCCAGCTTGTGACGGAGGGCGGCGAGGGGCAGGGTGGCATGTGCAGGCTGGGCTTAGTGGGTCTCACGAGGGCAAGCCAAGGCTGATGGTAATGATTTTCTGTTTCCTGACAACTTTCCAATAACCCTAGATATAAAGTGCAGCTAGTAAGGAGTAAATGGCTTGTGCTGACTAGCAGATTAGTTTATTCAAAATGCCTAACCTGTTTTTACCAGAATAATCACTGAGATGAGCTCACTTGTATTTAGGACAACATGCGTTCATCTCTGATAGGCAAAAAGGACAACTGGTTTCAAAGAGCAAATAAAAAATATCTATCTCTCTCTCACACACACACACACATACCTGTGTGTGCAGAGAGAGGAAGTGTTGAAACAATTAAAGGCAGGGATAAATTGTACAGCTGCAACCCCTTAAATGGATTCTTTTCTTCCTCTTCCCCACCCAGCCCTACGTGCTGCGTTAAAGGCTTGAGAAACGAGTTTGTCATTAGGAGTAAAACTCAGAAAAGTTGAGTAGGGAGAACTGCATAACCATCAGAGGGAGTTTAAATCCAAAATGATCTGAGGGAAACCAAGCAAAAGCCTGATGCTCACAACCTCCTCCACCCACCCAAACAGGCTGACCATGCCGAATGCAGGAGTACTTATTACCATCTAGGAAGAAGGATTTTGTTGGGTATACCTTTTTCCAGTTAAGAAAGGAAGAAGTTCAAGTATTTGACTGGCATGGTAAAATGCACCTCAAAATCTGGCATAGGCTGTTCCTATTTCCTACATCAATGAGGCAAAAGGGATTTAAAAAGAAAGGAAAATATTTCATATGTGTATTCACGGAAAATAAAAGTTCTCAAGTGCAAAGAAAGAACTAGAAGCCTCAAGACATGCACATGCAGGAAAGTAATATTATTTAGGGGAAAACAGGACTGTTGGGTTTTTTTCCCTGAGGATGAAATCCTCACTGAAGTTACTCAAAGATGAAAATGGAGACCATCATGCCCTTTGTGGAGATCAGACTTTTAAATGCCTGGGAGTTATTCTATTAAATTTCAAATGGAGCACAAGTATGGGCTAATGGACAGCATTTGATTTGGAAAAATAAAGCTGGCATAAAGTGAGACTAACTGTATTGAGATGCTAACAGAATGTTAAGAACGGTTTTGCATGAAAGGGTTACAGTTAAAATAACCTACAGTGCTAGGCTATTAACAAAAACACAAATTAAAATGTTGCTTCTATATGTGCAACTTTTTCATCTTAATATAAAATATTTGAGTCATGCTTGGTAGGCATTCTTTACATGATCCTTTGACCTAACACAAAGTCAGTATAAATATGAGAGAGAACTTGCGAGGTGTCCCTTGCCTGCTAGTCTGATCTCAAGATTTCTAATTGCTTTTTACTTAACTTTTACTGATGTAAAACTTGCAGTGAAATCAGTGAGTATTTGCTATAATGAGCTCCTTGGACCGGTAAAAATAGTTTTCAGTAATTTTTCTCAAAGCACTTGTCACTCAGGCTTATTTTTATTTACCCTCTTATGTCATCCCATTTCTTGGAAATCAATTAAAAGATGAATAGAGCATGTGCAGCAATAAAAAACAGAGGTGAATTTTGGCCACATTCAGTAGCTTTGTTCTCCATGTGCCCAGTCTCTACGTGTTTATGTCACACTTCTGTGATTAGGTACCAAATCTCAGCCAGCTCTTCAGGGATGTGGGACTCTGCCCTTGTTCTTCTTCCCTGTCAAACTGGAGCTGCGGGTGTGCCAGGTCCCTGTCCTGCTCCCGGCCGAGCTGATGGAGTTTGGGGGGCACGCTGGTCCCGCTGCAGGCACCCTCGAGGCTGCCTGGCCCCTGGCAGGGCACCCCATGGCTCAGGCGTGCCGGAGCCCTGTGCCACACGGCAGAGCCGACGTCAAAGCAAAGAAATTGGTTCCTGCTTGTTTCAAGCAGAGGTGAGCAGCGTGCACTTGACACTGGGGAGGAGTCAGTGGTAGGGCTGGTGGGACTGCGGGGCAAGTTCCCAAAGCAAATTCACAGTGATGTTTTGTTACACAGGGAGGATAAAATCCAATGGAGATGGGGGAGAGGGGGTGATAAGTCCTTACCTAAGAACATCTACACAAACTCATTTTTTCTGAGGACTCACATGCCCTTTTGAAAAAGGGCTTTTTTGTGTATGGTTCTGTGGGTGTGATTGATTACCCATCTCACTGCAACTCCCCCATCCAAAACTTGTTCATCTCCTTGAGTTTGTCAGTGCCCTGCATACAGGGGCTTGGGGAGTATGTGCCTCTTGTTCATAGGAGGGAGAAAAAGAAAGAAATCATTTTTACTACATCAGCAGCAAACCCAAGAAGTACAGGCTCCCATTGAAAGCCCCTTGATTTCACTGATCCATTACTCCTTTATATGGCACACTAAGGACTGCCAACATGCTTTATTAAATTAATTGAGGAAGAAACCATACATACTGAGGCAGCTTGCTCTGACACTGAAACGGACACTTGTTTAGGCCACACAGGAGCTGTTTAATAATGTAGAGGTAAAAGAACAGCTTTCTCTGTCGAAGCAGTGAAGGCAATGACAGTGGGAAGGGGGAACGGTGCAGGGAAGAATTAGCCAGCAGGGATAACTCATTTTTTCTTGCAAAAAGATCTGGGAAATAACTGGGCACAACTTCTGCTTTTTTTATATCACTTGAAAGATTTCTATTTTTGCAGAGGCCCTCAGAGCTCCCATTTCTCTACCACCAGTGTGATGTGAGCTCCCCATCCTCTTCCAAACAAGTGCACATTTGCTCTCCTAGTTCTCTCTCCAAGGTCTGTACTGGTAGAGATCCACTTTAAAGCTCCTCGCTGGAAAACCTGTTGTTCCAGTTGTAGGGTCCTCACAGATGTCTGTGGCTAAGGCACCAAATGATGTCAAAGATGGCTTAGGAGAAAGCTTTGTTTAAACATTACTTGCACTGCAATCGGTCCCATTTGTTTTTAAGGTCACCCTGGAGACATCATTACACAAACAGAAGTGGTCCGTGTTTTGCCAGGTGCTGACGTGACCCTGGCGTGCAGCTTCCCAAAACCACACACCACCTACATAATACAGACACAGTGGTCCAAGACTGATGACAACCAGCTTACCAGAATAGCTGTTCATCACCCCGTTTATGGCACCCACTACTTCACCTTTCCTGAGGCTTCTTACAACTTTTCAGTGTCCTTCAGCACAAGGAAGTGCTGCGACTGGGATGTTACAGAGTTTTTGTGTTCCCCGGATCCAAATGCCACGTCTGAATGCAGTCTGTGGGCTCTGCATCTGAAAAACATTACCATTTCCCTTAGCGGGTGGTACGAGTGCAGTTTTGCTACATACCCGTATGGGACAAAGGCTGCAAAAATTCATCTTGTTGTCAAGGCAGAAGGTAAGTGATTATGACTGAGATGCTGCTTTTTCGTAACAGGGGTGGGGGGTGGGGGAAGGAAGTATCAGGATAGACGAACAATTCTTGGTCAGTGATGGTGACTTGTTTGGTGTTTGCAGTGGTGCCGCTGAATGCCACTTTCCACACAGTTTCCTATTTACAGGCACTCTTTAGCTGTTGTTATCAGCACATGATTAGGAAAACTTTTTTTTTTTGAGGAATATGGAGTTAGATAGGAAGGCAAAAAAAAGTGGTGAGATGGGCAGTTTCCACGTTTTTGTTTTGGAGAAACATGCTGTGGAGAAGACTGGATGGGTGGCTCAGGATACAGAGATCTGGATATTTGATCTCCAAACAATGATGTGCTGCCACTATGGGAGTGCAGCATCAGGCACCAGAAAGAGGAGACACTCTTGTCTGGTTGAGGCTGGGGGCTGGCATCTGCAGGGCGGTCTGGGTGTTAGCTCAGTGGAGGGATGTGTGTCCCCAGGGTCAAAACCAAACCGGAGCAAAGCAGGGGATTGCTCAGGACAATCGTAGGAACGGAGACTTGGCTGCTCCTACAGCCAAGAGGAAGTTGAAAAGTAGCATGACTGCTCTTAGTAAGTAACCCTCAGGGGAGAGTGTGAACTCCAGGGAGGATATTTAAATTATCTTGGCAAAGGAACAAATGAGTTTAAATAGGATGTGAGTGGATTTGACTGCAAATTAAACAACAGTGGCAACCATTAGCGAAGCAACTTTGGGAGCAGATGTTTGATGCCAGCAGTGAGGGCAAAAGTCCAAACTGCACTGAAGATGGAGCTGGGCAGGTATGCTGAGAGAGCTTGTTGTTGCGCACATGGGGGACTGGTTTTGATGGTCCCAGAAACCTCCTCCTGAGCCAGGTTCCTGTTAACAAGCCAAGAAGGATTGAAATGAATGCAAGAAACCTGGCATTGTTTCAGTTCAGAGCTGCAAGGCCACCAGGCTCACCGTGCTTGTGCCCGGGGCTGTAGATGCAGCACAGGTTCGCGGGTGGGGAGCAGGGTGGGTGCAGGTGACGTTAGGGGGAGCGGAGGTCAGCAGCGCTCTTTGGCCTGCATCGCGAGGCCAGGCTGGTGGCAGGAGGGACACCGGTCCCCGTGCCGGATCACGATGGTCCTGCAGCAGCAGGAGGCCCTGCGCAAGCCTCATGCACAGGGACGTTGAACCCAAGCTGCTGCCCCCGCTCGCTGATGGCCCCTGCACAGCACTGGCCCCAAGCAGTCTGGTGCTGCTCCCCCCAGAGGCACACACGCCCCCAGGGGCAACCCAGCAGCATTCCTGCCCTGGGGAACTTACAAAGGCAAAATTAGAGCCAGCATCTCAGCATGACCCATAGAGGATGGGTGTGTTTAAACAGTACGTGCCCAGTAATTGTGTCAAGGATGAAGCTGCCACTTTACCTGCTGTACAGGCGTGTGCTGCGGGAGGCCCCCCCTTTGGGAATTTTCCTGTGCTTTGCAGGGCAGAGGGGTTGGAACAAGCGGAGAGCAGTGAGGTACAGTGTTGGTAACCACACAAAACCCTCCCATGCTTCTGTTCCTCATGCGGTTTTCCTCTCTCTCTTCCTTAATACAGTAATAGTGTTAATCAGGCATTGCTCCTTTTCTCTTGCTGGTGCCCTTGGTTGTTACTGGCGTGTTCAATGTTGTTATTGCTGTCTACATGTTAAATGTGGGCAGCTCTTGTTCATATCAACATCATTGTGGCTTTTTTCAGTAACTGCATCATGTAGCAAGCTGTGCTGCTGATAACTGCTAGCTAGAGAAAACTAAAAAATTCAGTTTGCATCATATCTCTTGCAGATTTGTATTTTAAGGTAACTAGATCTTCCTCAATGAGCCACTTCCACTCAAAAGAAAGCGAAAGACCTTAATCCAGCCTACGAGTGGGATGGAGAAGGGTGCTAGTCATTAATGAAGTACAGCTCTCAACTACATCAAAGTGAAGTGAATCCAGATGGATTCAACTCGTAGATACTGCAAAAAGCCCGCAGAGCAGCAGGCCTAGATAGGACTGACAAACAAGGAAGGCCTTAGCCAATAGGCTCTTAATGGAGCTGGGAATCAAAGACGGGGAAAATAAGCAGCTGGGACACGTGGCTGCGAGAACAGGCACAGGCTGTTTGCAGACTGAGCTCCTGGGGCGACTACTCATCTTGGTACTTCTCATACGCTGCACGGCACGTTTGCATGGTAGCTTGTCCCAGAAAAGTCTCCTGTGACGTTTTCTTCCGGGGGAAGCTACAGATTTGCTTCCTTTGCCTTTTCTTTATCATTTCTGCACTATCCAGCCCCCTTAGGCTTGTGCACTCCGTGTCCCGCCGCGATAGCTGACTCCTCAGCTGCTTCTGCTGCTGGGTCTCCCGGACACCCTTTCTTTGTGTCCCTGTGGCACAGGCTGCGTGCGGGCTCTGTCACTCCCTGCTTGGGTGCCAGACATAAAGGAAGTTACAGTCACCAGAAAGTCCTCACTGCCGAATAACGTAACCGTCTGGGTCCGCTGGATATTCTCCATCCCCTCAAGATTAAAAAATAAATAAAATATATCTATTCTCTCTCGGCACACAAGCGAAAACTAGCAGGGGAGCAAAGCTGAAGTGTTTCCCCTTAGTGTGGGCTCATGCCTGCCTAAAGAGAAGAGGGAAGGCAGGCCTGTGCAGCAGTGCATCACTCTGCCCTTCCACAGGTGCACCAGGGCCCCGGACTGGGAATCGGTAGGGTAGGAGACGCTGAAATGCTTTTTTAAATTGATGACAAAGGGAAGAGTGACAGGCTGTCTGCTTCTGGTAGTGGGCAGATTGGAGAATAACAAAAGGAGCATTTACACAGAAAAACGGGGTTAATCTTAACCTGCCTGACATGCTGAACACCTTCCTCAGTGAAAAGAAGCTCTGCGGATATCTTCAGAGAAAATGAAATACAGGTGCACAAAATCGATGTGAAGGTTTATTGCCACAGAAAAAAATTGTAAGAGAAAAATTGAAGCCTCAACTTATTCTCAGCTCCAAAAGGAGACATCTTGATCCTGCAGTTAAACAACAGTTTTTATGATTGCACAAAAATTCAGATAAAATTGTGGATTAGAGACATGAAAATGCATCTAGAATCAGATGCAGGGCTTTCACTTAACAAATGCGTCTATGGGTAATGGTTGAAAATTACAGTTCCCTTCTAATCAAAAACATGCCTGTTCCTTGAACAGACTGGCCAGCATTGGTTTTTAAAGCACAAAGAACATCATGTTTCTGATTTTCCTTCTTGGTTTTTTTTTTTGTTTTTTTTTTTTTTTTTTATTGTTGCTGCAATGATGAAAGAGGAGCAGCACTATGTGAAGCAAGTGCAGTTAAACCAGACTTTAGTAATTCCATGCTTTGAGGACACCACCTCAGAAAATTTGTCTGATTATCCTTTGAAATGGCTAGTGGTAAGTATTTTTCATCTCAGGTATGAATTTCAGAAGGAACTACAGGGTATTTTTGCAGGTTGAAATAGTAATGTTAGACTACTCTGTCCTGCAGAATCTGCTAAACAGAAGGTACCGGTTGTGTTGTACATTGATAATAAAGGGAAAGGTTACAAACATGGTTTTGCAACATAGACACCATAAAAAATAGCTGTTAAAGAAACAAACAGGGAAAAATTCCATCCTAATTGCTTTTTTTCAGGAGGACATGTAGAGCTGGTCCATGGGAAGTGGCAAAGAACTTAGCAAATGTAACAGAACTAACATATTCCTTGTGTTGGAATTCTCAGGGATTTTTGCTATAGTGAAGCTTTAGTGTCTCTGAAAAGTACAGTTACTGAGTAGGGTAGTGAGGTATCAGGCTCCTTTGAAATAGAGAAAAAAATAAAAATAAAGGGGCTGACTCTAATGGTGTTTTTTTTTGTCAACTTCTGTGTCACAGATGCACACCTAAGACATGCAAACCCAGTTATCTAGCTAACCACATAAAGACTACTTTTAATCAATTTTCTGTGAGATATAAAGCTCTCTATATTTTTGTACTTCCTCTCACTTTCTACATAAATATTTGTATGCATGCTTTAATGTAACCTTTTAGCATTTATTTCAGTATGTAGAGATACGTATCAGCCAGCAGTGTCCTTGAGATTTGTGTGTTAATTTCTGTCTATTGTCACTGAGGAGCTGTAACTGTTGAGGGTTTTCTTGAAGGTGATTTTCAAATATTTTAGGTTTTGTAGTCTTTTGTCCCAGCTCATTGTATAGTCAGATCTCTTCTTTGCAGTGCATTCTTAGTATTAAAATTCTTAAAATTTTTGTAGGGAACAATCTTGTCCATACTATTTTTAGTGTTGCTAGTTCATTCTACAAAGTAGCAGAGGAAAGGGGGAAAAACCCCAAAGGCTTGCAAACCCCATATAGCTTGCAAATATGTACTGAGACACAGATGTCCAGGGTGTGCTGGCTGAACCTATATCTAAGGGTGGCTGGCATACAGGCATTAAGAGGAGATGGCATTTAGCTATTATTATCAGGTTCTTACTATTTAAAATCTAAAAAAGCAAGGATTTTCTTGGAACTTCACTCATATTTAATGCATATGGAATGTTCATCCAAAGATTGCTGCAATGAGAAAGCAGCTCTGTTGCCCTCTCTGAAGGCTACAGAGATCAGGACACGGAGGACACAGTTATTTACTCCATAGTTTATTGGTAGGATGATGACCGCTATTGGTTTTGAAGTTCTGGGAGAGAATGTATTTGGAAAAAAATGTCCACTTATTGCTACGCAATGCTAGGGGTGTGAGGGAAGATTTTCATAGTGGGAATAGAGCTCACCTATGAAAATATTTGAGGGGGATGGTCTGGTCTTCACACATTGTGTGGATTGTTCTTTTCACAGGGGGAAAATGGCAGGAAAGAGGAACTTGTGACCAAGGAGCCCTCCTGTCCCGCAGTGTACAGGAACGGCAGCGCACTGTACGGCCAAAGAGTCCGCCTGGGTTCAAATAATGCTCTGAAGATTTTCCCCACCAAAATCATGGATGATGGCAGGGTGTTTTCCTGCCACGTGGTGTACCACCCAGAGAGAGTCCAGAAGAGCAGCACCACCGTGAGAGTGTTCGGTAAGGGGCTCATGCCAGCTGGCAGCTTACTTGCACTTGGAAAGGTAACACTCCTGTCTAGTTCTGAAGGCCACAGCTTTTGAAATGCACTGGGATTCTTTTATATATATATATTTACGGTGCACTTTTTTCAGCTGTAATGAGTTCAAATGTTTGTAAATAACCCCATCATTCTGAGGAAGAATTTGAGGCCATTCCTTCAATTTCTGTCATCAAAAATAGTAGATCCATTGCGCATATATCAACACCGCTGGCATGCATGTTGCCACTGTCTCACCCTGACGTGTAAGCTTATGTTGGGACTTTGTGGGTTACAGGTAAGCACCTTGATCATCAAGATCTTTATGCCCCAGTTACAAAATGAGCATTCTGTCTGTGTTTAGGAAATCATGGCCAGAATGTAGTAAGAGGCTAAAGCAGTTTGGAACTACTGTTGTTGCAAAGTCACGTCCTCGAAGGCAGGTGATATTCAGCTGCTGCCAAAGGCTCTGGTTCTGAAAATGAGGCCCTGCCTGAGGGTCTCAAACTGGTCAGGGGTGGCAGGGTCTGTGTACCACAAACATGCATTTCAGGCTGGAAGCCTTCCTCATCTTTACTTACTTGCTCTGTTCCCTTTCTAGTGGCTTAGGAACCACTCTACAACCGCTGAGGTACAACTGAATGAGAAAAATGCTGCCCACTGAAAACCAAGCTGTATTTCCTGGTTCTAGAACAGTGGGTCTGGAAAACATTTCCAATGCTTCTAAAATGAATGGGTGTTAAACAGCAGGTCTGTCAACAGTCCCTTGACTGTAGCTGCTTGCCCAAGGACAGCACAGCCTTGCGAGGCCGATGCTCTGAATCTAAGGAAAGATTCAACAGGGAACAGGAAAAAAAAAAAAAGGGCAGCAAAACCTGTCTCTGTGGGCTGTTGGTCACTGACGCAAGAGAAGAGAAATAAAAATAGAAGTTAATGATCTGAAATTTCCTCTTGCATTTGCATGATTCAGACATGGGTCTTGCTTTTAAAAATCAACACAGCTACAGTGTTACTTGGGTAATCGTTCAAGTATACTAACATACTTGAACTCTCCCTCCTCTCCATCCCTGCTGATACTCTCGCCTAGGTTTGTGTATCTGTTAGCCTAAGAGGTTGCTTCATTTGGCTTATTTGCTGAATGACTGTGTTCTATGCGACTGTCTGTGCGTGCACCCGTATCAGCATATTAGAGCCAACAGGGAAGAGAGGCAAACAAGAGAAAGCAGCCATGGCCCTTGCTGGTGAACAGCCTGTGATGCTCCCAGTAACCACTGGCTGGCTTTTGACCAGGGTGCTATGCCATCAGCCTCTCTCACAAGTGTATCGGGGGCAGGATTATGTGGAGGGATTCCCTGAGAGCTGATTTGTGGTGGGTGCTGAGGAAGGTCTCTCAGACCTCAGGCCAGTAGATTCCAGATCTTGGAGGAAGTGCATTTTTGTGCTCTTAGCCCTTTCATATCTGATAGTGCAGGTAAAATAACTATTCTGCATGCTGTCTCACTCTTTTCTGTTACTATCTGCTGAAGTCACGCTGTTTATGATTGCATCATACCAGCTTTTCTCCACTTACATCTCTTGTGTGGCAGTGGGATTGGAGACCAAGATCAGATGGCCCAGAGCCACCCCTGCACCAGCCCATGCACCCATGCACTGGAAGGGCAGGAGCAGGCAGAGAACAGGCAGAGACAGTGGCCAGGATAATCCAGCAATCTCCAGCTGGCATGTGGGGACAGACAAACAGCCACTTCAGATGATAGCACTGCTCTTGTTCCTTGTGCCAAAGCTGACCAGGGAATGAAGAGATGAACATTTATGTCCTAGCAGGTAGACCCAGCCTCGAATGGCCAGGGGAGAACTTAAAGCATGATAGTAAACATATACAACATCAACAGCACATTATATTGGTTATATCTGTCATTCTGGCCATTAGAAAGGATATAGCTAGAGAACTAAGGCCAACTGAAACCTGGGAAGATTGTCTTATTTCAGCAAGCCAGCATCCCCCCCTGCCACCCAACCACTCGGGCACCCACGGGCTGGGTGGCACGGAAGAAGGGAAGGGAGGGCAGGCAGCTAGTGTACCACGGTGCTGTAACAAGCAGGAGGAGAGGAAGGTACAGTCACCTGGGAAAAGCTCCTTGTGCAGGATCCCTCTGATAAACACTTCAGGGCTTAAAGACAGTGGAGACAGCACAAATCAGAGGGGCGGCCATGGTGCTTCCACACAGATGTTTGAGGTGGCCTGAGTGTGACTGAGAGCTGGGCAGGAGAGGATGGGGAAGGTGTGAACAAGTCTCTCAATGAAGTTGAGAGTCTTGATAGGTTGAGTGAAAACAGGCATTCAATTGAGAGAGCTTTTTTTAAGAGGGTACTTTTGGACTGGAATGCTTTAAAATATTTCTTTCCTAGAGCAGAGTTCTTTTAAATACAAGTTTCCGAGAAAATGTATGGCCTTTTCACATCTAACTTTACCAAATATCGATTTCTCCTTTTTGTAAGAGGAAAAGCTCAGCAGCAGAAACTACTATACTAAATATTGAATTTCTGCTAGACCCAAAACATTGGTAAATACCCTAGCAAGACAAATGAAAGTCAAACTGTTAACTGGGGCTGAGATGTTAAATGGAAAAGTTCTATTAGATCATTCAGAGCTGTGCTTGAGAGCTGCCTGACAGAACAGTTACCCAGCAAACATGTTTTTTGAGAAAACAGAGAACAGCATCCAATACAGATGTGGAAAAGCATATCCATTCTCATTAAAAAAAAAAAAAAAAAAAAAAAGAGCAGGCACTAGACTAGATGTTGTTTAGTCTACCAGCTGACTTTTAGCTGAGATTAGAAGATCCAGTTTACCAGACTTTCTCACATCTGAAAAAGTATGATTGTCTTCTGCCAGCCCCACTACCATCTGTACGGTTTTGGCAAGGCAGAAACAAGGATGAAATGTGAAGACATTAATTTTCTGATAGGAAGAATCCACCAAAAAAAAAAACAAACAAGAACAATAAACCACCAAACAGAAGGAACAAACAAACAAAAAAAAAATTAAATTCTGCCCAAAAAGAACTCTAAATCCAGAAAACTGTAAGGCCATGATAATTAAATATAGGTCACTCCTAGGCATAATCCATTAGTAACTCTAGTCAGAAAAATGGAAATTGAAAAAAAAAGAAAAGAACATGGGAGAATCCTTTTTGGATTCACTATATAAAACAACAGGGAAACATGAGCAGTTCACCTCAGAGGGGAATGTAATGAACTGAGGTGACCCTATCAATTAACAGGGTTAGGAAAAAAAAAAAAAAAAGAAAATAAAATTATCTTAATGGTAGAGATTAAAGTGAGGTTTAGGGTGGAAAGAGAAAGAATTATGGATTTCCTAAGCAACCCAGGGGCTGCACTTTTTTTCCAGTCCAGTTTTAAGGCTCACGTAGAGCCAGAAGCACAATTTATCCAAGGCTTTTGAGATTTTCTTTATAATAGCACAGTTTCAACTGCCCTTACTTAACAAATCAGTTAATAATACTGCAAACCAGTGATCCCAATGGCTAATTTAGAAATGCCGACTTAGAGAGCTTTATAATACCTGATAGCTTTTGTATATACAGTCAGCTGTGCCTAGAACCAAAATGTTGTGAAAACAAAGGAATCCACTTTTTTCCATTTCTTGTGGATGTGGTCATCAGAGATGCACTGCTGTGATGTGACAGTGAGCTCTGGGCTTCCTGGCCAGGCACGAAGAGTCTGTGGTGTGACACTGTCACACATCTGCCCAGGTGACAGCGTGTGAAGAGCTGGTACCACAAACCAATCAATGTTCTGGGGGGTGGCTAACGCCTTTGCAGATGACTGTGACTGGCAAACACCCAGAGGAATGAACAACTGGGGGGAGTGTTTAATTCAGCACAGCCAGGAAGGGTGGCTCTGCTGCTGGAGCCATGATTGCAGGATGGTTTCAGCTCATTTATCCAGCAAAGTCACCCAAGAGTAGTTTAGGTAGGCAGTGGAATACATCACGGATCTTGTGGTAGTAGCTGCTCATAAATGCTTGTAAACCACTTCCTTGACTTCAGATCGGAGCTGTGTGAGATTTTATCTTGCTAGGGGTGTGGGTGGTGTTGTGGATGGAGTTATGCACTTCACTCACAAGAGAGAAGCAACAATATATTTTACTGATATAAAACACTGAGTTAACAAAGTTCAAAGGTAAAAGCGACAGTGGTTAATAAAATTCAATGGCAAGGTACACTTGAGTATTTACTGCACAGAGGACAGCATCAGACAAAACTGTCAGAGGGACCATCCCATTGAGCCATGAGGTTCAGAAAGGACCCTCTTGTGTTCTAAACCCTTCCTCAGAGGGAACTTTAGGTGCAGCTGGATCCAGACTTAGTCCCAGACTTGGTCAATGGTTTATATCTAAAGGATAAGTTATGTGTAATGAATCCTTTATATCACTTAGCTAAGATTTCAAAGTTTCATCAATCTTACTACCAATTCACTTACCGAATACCTGATGGGATAAGGATTCTTTCAACCTCAAGAAGTAACCTTGAGAGGCATCCCTATTCAAGGGGAGATCCTGGCGTGCAGCCCGCTGCTGTGCAGGAGAGCTCAACAGGCCCTGGGCTGTCCACTATTTATGGAGTAAGATAATCGACTCATAGTCATATTTGCATGCTGACTACAGGTGTTAGTTGCTTCTAAATTTGGCTTAAGTCAGACATTGACCAGCACTGCAGTTAGGTGGGCGCATTGCTTAAATTAGCCCTTGGCTATTGTGTTGTTATCTGTCCCGTGTCTCTCCGACACCGCAAATCCACTCTGAGCTGGATGCGGCCATCACGTCCAGGCACATCCTTAACAACTGCCACTCGTGGTTATCCCTTGAGCAGGGTTACAGAAAATAAAGGTCAGATGCTGGGGAGGGCATGGGATGGAGCACACCATCACAGGTAGATGTACATTTTAATTTCCACTCTTTTACAGAAACAAGGCTTTTAAGTCTTATTAGAAGCTGTTACTGTGACCTTCGGTATCCATTTCACTAATGCATTACTGTTTGCTTTCCAGCCTACCCTGAGATCTCTGTTAGCCTGCAGGAGGACTCAGTGGGCACCTCGCAGAAGGTGAGCAATTTTGGAGTGAAGAGTAATGCCTGTGACTGCCACCGAGCCACCCCCGTGGGGGCCAGGCAAGCTAAGCTGAATCAGACACAGGCAGGACCTCCAAACTGACCGAGCTCACAGGGCGAAGAGCAAGTCAGTGAGTTAACGTCAGCCATTCGTGCCCTTTCTTCTGAGCAATTCCCATTCCCGCAGCAGTGAGCTGCTTCAGTGACCACAAACCAGAGCTAGCTAAGGGCTCCTCCATGGTGTGATCAAAATCTGGCCTTGTGTTAGCCCTAGGGAAGGCTCCAGGACAGGATCAAGAGGCTATGAGGAGCTCATGATGTCGCAGGGGGTTGCAACGCTCCCTCTCCCTCCCCACCTGCTGGCTACCACTTGGCAGCCTCGAGCTGCCTTCTCCACACTGCTTAAAATCCCTCTCTGAAGAAGCTACCCAGGATGCTGCTGCAAGGGGCCAGTCAGCAGCAGCCCCTGCCTGCCACACAGCCCCCCTGGGGATGGGGAGGAGCGGGTGCTGTGGGAGCGGTGCTGGGGGCACCGACGTGGCCTAGCGTGTGAATGGAAAGGTGATGGCTGTGTCAGGCATAATGTGCCATGCTGCAAGCAGAACCCAGCTGGAGCGATCAGATGCCGATGGAGCGACTGGATCTAAGTCTGAGGGCCTCTATTTAGAGCTGAGCAGTTACACATGTGCTTTGGGGCCTCTCATCACATGCTTGGTAACAGCAAAACCTAAAGTTCCGATGTACTGCACTGGCCATATTTGGCGTAAAACACATTTGTGGCCCATACGACTAACTAGCAAACCACTCTGGCTACTAGCTATGGCACTTTGCTTCCTGTTGCATCCATCCAGGTTGAAGCTTTTGATCTGTGAGCATCCCAAATTAAGAAAATTTTCCTTGGGTACAGCGCTTGTGGACAGGGAGAACCTTATATTAACCATTTCCACCTGCTTCAGACAAGCTATGAGTCAGTTGGTTCTGCAAAACCAGTATAATTTTCCTGGTGACCTATTTCCAGGTATGGTGTTTGGCACTGCAGGCTTTTGTCTACATTATCTTGTTCAGCAGAGCAAGGGATGCTGCTGTCATCAGACTGAGCAATAGAAACTTTTCCAAGAGCCTCTGTCCATTCTTCACCTCCAAACAAACCCCAACTCCTCTGCTTCCTTTTCCTGCCCTTTATTACAGAGTGTAAATCTATGTTGGATGTCAGGTTTGTATTTCTTCATAGGAAGCATTTATAAAAATACTATGAGCTAAAAGTGCCTGAAAAATACAGGAATAATGAAGAGAAGAGAAGGGAAAACAATTACAGTACAAGTTCAGAGGTTATTTACCATAGCAAGGAAAGAATTTCAGCTGGGTAGTTTCAGTCTTCATACTGAATGATTGACTTCTGTTGGCTGCAATGCATCAAGCTTGCTTTCAACTAAATGTGTGAACCACTTTCTTCAAAAGTGTGAGCAAGAGGGCTTTATGCTGCATGAGTAGCACATGCTGCTTTTTTTTTTTTTTCCTTGTTTAAATGGACAAGGCAATATCTCTTGGTGCCATAAACTACTAAGTAAATCCAATTGGGAGCATCCAGGCAACATGAGGATGAGACCTCCCACCCTGCTAGTGCCCAACCCTTCACCCAGCCTTGATTTTGAAGTCCTCCCGTCTACTGCTTGATGAGAAATTGAACTGAGAACACACACAGATTTTTGGAGCAATTGTCATACAGCCAGTGTTACTGCATGTTGAACAAGCAATTCCTTGTGACTTCTGGAAACCTCTTGCATATCATGCCCTCTATAAAGGTATCTAATTTCATATATTCAACATATCATTGTGCCAGGCAGTCTTTTTCATAGAATTTGTCTCTTTATCTGCCTAACGAAGGAAGGACTTACGTGGCAACCAGGAGGTGTCTCATTCTGCCCCCACGCACCGTGCCCATTACTGATTCCAGTGTTTCTCCATGTGGGTGTTTGTCACTGAGGTGCTGGGCTGGGGGCAGGAGGGTGGAGGGGTCACCCTACATCTCTTCAGCTACGGTACAGGACTGGAGGGTGTTGGAGTTCTGTCACCCCCCAACCTGGCCTAGGGTGATGGGGGTGTCCCTGGGCTCTCATTCAACGGTGTCTGCAACCAGAAAAATTGTCAGGGTTGGTGGGGGAGGAAACACCATAAAGAGGAAGGGAGTACTTCCTTTCCAAGTGGGATGGTGAGTAAATAAGCTCTGTCTATAATGGATTTTGGAAGATGGTTGAGGAATGATGGAGGCTAACGACTGGCTTTTACTGCCCCACAGCCTAACGTGAGCTGCGTGGTGAGGAAGGCGTTCCCCAAGCCAAGGCTCCTGTGGTTCGTGGGCAGAGCGAGCCTGGCGGAGCAGCCTGGAGGTAACGCAACCCGTCAGGAGGACGAAGGCGCAGCGGTAGAAGTGGTTGCCAAGAATGGCAGTGGTTGCTCATCCACTCCTGCTACGGGGAGCCTGTGGATGTCCATCTGGGAGAAGGGGAGAGCATCAGGCCTCCTCAAAGGGAAGAGCTGGTGGGCAGCCGTGGTCATAGGCCCCTGCAATTGTCAGTGATGGGGACGAATGGCCTGGCATAACCACGCTGCTCTTGCCAAATCTTTGATAGCTTCTCAGCAAGCGAACCTGCAGCCATATGAGCTTGTTTTCAGTAGCAATATTTTGCACAGCTCTGATTTATATTTTGGAGTGTAATGAGAAGGTTTTGCAGCTTTTATTTTTTTTCTTTCCCCAAGAAATTTCTGTTCAACAAGAAGACTTGCAAGACAGTGAAGGTTTCTATCAGCTGAGATCAACACTGATGTTGCAAGGGGCTCACCGGACACCCGAGACATTCTCGTGTGCATGTCTGTTTTCCTTCCCCGGGAATGAAACGTGGAATATTTCATCAGAAGAAATATTTGTTTCCTTTGGTAGGTTTTTCATAGATAGGAATCTGAATTGTAAAACATTAAGAACACCAAACACACATATTCTCTGTTATTTAAAATACTGAAGAAATGCCAAGAGTATGGAAGCTTTATTGTGTAAGTTCATCCCACAGCTTGAACTTTCTGGCAGGCTTTTTAGCTCAAGTCTTTGCTCAAGCTTCTAAACGAGCTAAGAAACTCCTGCACAAATATAAGATACTTGCTGTTTGTTTAGGCAGTATCTTGCTGCACTTCCCATACCCAAAAATACACTAGCTTAGCCACATGGCACCAGTGAGCTATTATAATCTTGTGTTTCTCACTGAGCACTCCTGGCAGAATATCTGCATGTGTGCAATGCAGCTCTCTGCAAAATCAAACCCTCAGAGTCAGGGCCATGTTGCACACCTTCAGCGAAACCTGCAAAAAGCCCCTAAACTAGTGGAGCATTTTGGACAATGGAGAAACTCCATTGTATAGCCTGCACTGTAAGAATTAGCTACACGAATTGGGAAGTGTGGAGAAATAGTCTCAAGTACTTGGTGAAAGCAGGAGGTGCGGCGGTGCAGAGGTTTATGGCATTTCTGAGGATGCCGGGTGGCCAGCGAGAAGGGCAGACTGCCTTCCTTTAGCACCCCCTTGTGCACACTTCCTCTTCAGGTGTAAATGTATGGTTATGCCTTTTTTTCTTTTTTTACTCCATATGCTCCTTGCTGCACAGATAATACGACTGAACTGCTGGCCCCTTGGCAGCCTCCACGGGTATGTTGGATAACCTGCAGCTCAGCTATGTTCACTTGTGGCTGTGGATATGCCTATTGGTATGTTTTTCCACAAAGAAAGACTGCATCAAAACCCAGAGCTTGCTCCTCTGGAAATATAGCTTCAGAGGGGAGGGAAATAAATGATCATTTTTCTCCAAAATGACTCATTTCACCGAATTCGCAGTTTTGCAGAAATATATTCAAATTGGAGAGCCGTCAATTAAAGCAGTCTACGTTTTTGCCTGCAGGCTACGCTAACGCTAAGATAGATCCACTCTGTATAAAAATGATAATGTATTTAGATGTGACAGAAAGGAAAGAATTAAACTAAATCTCAGCTATGTTCTGTGAAGGTGCCATACTAATACGCAGTACGACACAAACCCCAAACTAAATTTTCAGCCTTTATAACAAAAGCCTAACTACTTTTAAGAACTCCTTTCATCTTTCTTTTTTTTTTTTCTTCACAGACAGTGGGTCTAATGAAGCCTCATCCAAAGCTTTCACCACCATGGTTTCAGAAGGTAGGATAAATTGGAGAAGGAAATAACTTGAGTTATGTTAGAGGTGCATCTATAAATTCCTAAAGCTGTTGGAGAAATGTTTTTGCAAACTTGTTAATGGGTGGGTAATAAGGTACCCCTTTCTGCAGCTATGACTTCAGAGAAAATGCAATGAATAGATATTTTGGTGATATAATCTATCATAATTAAGCCCGAGCATAATTAAACTCCAGACTTGAGGGGCACTTAATGTTATTTCTGATGCTTCATCTGGCATTTGAATATAGCTCTTTCAGCACTGAACGGATAATTAAAAATAACAGCCCTACTAATGGTTCCACCTTCTGCTTAAGTACACAGCCAAGATCCTCAACACTTTTGCCTAATTAAAGAACCGATGGGATGTTTCTTAATTCATGTAAATTTGGTAAATCCACACTCTGCCCCTGCAAGTTTGTCTTATTATCAGCTTATTGCAGACAGATAAATCATTCCCTCTACACCTCAGCTGAAGCCCTTTGGAGACAGCTCTCCTGGAGCAGCTTGCTCTGCTCTGCACGGGGGGCAGCTGTGCTTCAGCAGTGGGTTATCAGAGAAACACTGCAGACAAGCGGCATGGAAAGAGGTGTGGTTTCCTACATAAGCTTCTTTCTGAGAATGCAGGTCATGGTAGGTCCTGGGTTTTCAGCCAATACTCTGCTGGGCACCAGAAAGCCATCCCAGACATCAGGGGTCCCTGGGAGACGGACTTTGTCCTCCACTGGCCTCTGCAAGGTGATCATTCACAGCAGTTCTTGAGGCTTGTGTCAGGTCACTGCTGTGCCTCGCCTCGCATGCTCGGCAGAAACCTTCTGGGAGCTGGGCACACCTCGAGGTGGCCCACTACCCTGATTTACAGACCTGCCGCATCGTTGGTAAGGTCTCCTCTTATATCAGCCAGCTACTGCGGAATTCCTGTTAGTGCAGGCGAAGCCAAGATGAAATGCCGATGGAAGAGCAACACTCAAAACAGTCAAAGGAGGTGCAAATGCTTGCAAAGGAAAGCAGCTGGAGTTGGTGGGTACCTACTCACGCTAAGATCCTATCTGCAGAGGGTTGCTCCCACCCAATGCCACCCCAACATGCCTGACCAGACAGAGGTATACTCTGGCTGCCTTCCCAGATATGTTTTTCTAATGGCGTGTGTGAGCTTTCATAGATCACCTCCTTCATGGAGATCTTTCAAGAGATTTAATCCTTCCTCCTAACCTACTCAGGGGATACTTTGCCTCACCTCCTGGGAAAAAAAAAAAAAGTGAGACATCTCTTGCTCAGGATGTAAATGCTGCTTAGGCAGTATGGTATCTCTGCTGTCCTGGGCTGGCTGGTTAACAGTCCTTTGATTACAAGGAATAACTCCCTCTCCTCTTCTTTGAGGACTCAGCAAGAACTTTTCAGTGCAAAGTGTCTCTGAAACTGCCTGTCAGGGTTGCAGTCTCTGAAGTGCCTCATGGATGGAGATATGCAGGTGCCACCACCGGGTCAGACATGTTATTTCAACATGTGTGCTAATAAGGTGCATCTGTTTATATGGGATAAAACCATGTAACTCACTTCTGCTTTTTGAGTTGGGGTGCCAGGAGCTCCAAAACCTTCTTCCTCCAAACCTTTGTTTCCCTAGGGATTTCACAGCACAGTTACCTCAGGTGCTTCGTGTTTCTCGCTGGACCACTTGGCCGAGTTGTGCCTTGAAAGATTATTTGGAAATTGTGTGATGCACTCTCTCACTCTTGAGCCTTTGAATCACCCACTTTTCTAAAGCAGAATAAACACCTTTCTCACCCTGAGTAAAAGTGTTTGCTTTGATTTGTGATAGGCCTTGGAAATTCAGCACTTCCATCAGCTATCGTGACTACCTCAGGTAACGGGGGAAAAAAAGGAAGTCTTTTTTATTCTCAGTCAGTACATGTAGGCACTCTGCTTGACCACTGCTTAAATGTCATGTACACAGAGCCAGAGTTATGCTAGGGAAAGGTCAGTGTGCTCTGGTACCGATGGTACCTGTGTGCTGCTGGATTGGAATTTGTGAGCTATGAAGTCCCCAAGAAGGGATCTGACAAATCCTGCTAAAACTGTCATGTTAGGACAGCATGTAAAATGGCACGCTGATTAGCATAGATCATTCTTATGCCTTTTTACAAAATGGAATAAAAACCCCTATACAACTATGAATAAATTTGTCCTGTTATGACAGAAAGGTGCATGTGATAGAGAAGTTAAAACCACCACTCTTCCTTGACCCAATAGTAGCACGTTATTCCGAGTCATTGATATAAGATAAATAGTACTGCTTTTCCAGAGCATGCATATGGATAACTATATAAAGCTATCTTCATCAACTGAGAGGAAAACCCACAAGAGTAGGCAATCTCCTGGGCTTACATGGCTGCCACATGTTGTCAGGACCGCTCCTGGCAAGGCCCTTGCTGGGGGGGGAGCGCCGCTATCAAGTGCCTAATCTGCCTCACAGCAGTTAAACTGAACCCTGTGTATAAAACCAAATAAATAACGCACACGGCTAGCCTACATGAAAGGGTCAGCATTAATAACGTCAGCTGTCTCTGAGTGCCCCTTGAATTTGTGGGATGTGTTTTGAGCATTTAACCTTAACTCTGACAGCAGAATTCCTGCTGCAGAGACTGCATTTACCCAGCAGCTGCTGCAAACTCTTTGATCCAGGTTGTTTTATCATTTATTAATATTATTTTTAAAAGACACTATCGACTAAATGTGATACTGTATAATCTGTTTGTCTTTAGAGCACCAGTCGACATCTTTGGCCTCTCTGGATTTCACAAGTCAAACAAGCTTGGCTTCTGCTTCCACAACACAAGGTAATAATCAATTCAGCCAAAATGTTTTCTCTATTGCTTCAGGAACATAGGAGAAGGATACATAAGCACAATAACGATCTTGCATTTTTTGTAGCGAACAATTTAATGTCCACTGAAGCCCTTTTCCTAGTGCATTATGGACTAGGAAGTCCAAAGTTCAAAAATAAATATATGAGAAAATGCTGTCTTGATTTTATCATTTCAATGCTCTCTTCAGGATAGATGCATTAATTTCAGCAAGTGAACAGATATCAAGTATATGTTTTTACAACAATTATTCTGTGTATCTCTTTAATTAAATATCACACAAAAATAGAATGACATTAGAGTTAGAAAAAGTGCAGCCGAGTCATTGGATCACAGGAGTACAAATCCAAAGCACTGATAAACAAAATATTTACAGCAGATGACTCAACTCAGTGATTGCTTCTCCGGGCTGGTGATCGCAAGGCCAGTGGAGGGCAGGGTAGCTGGCTTGGAAGGGTTTCACCCTGCTTCCCCGGGGAGGGGTACGTGCACCAGTGGCTGGCACCCACTCAACCATGCGGCAGCAGCCTGGCTAGTGAGCAGGTGAAGCTGTGAGCCTCCTGATCCCAAAATAAAGGGCTAATTCCTGCCTGTCCCAGCAGAGTGCCCTTCGTCACAGCACAGCCTGTCTGCAAGCGCTTTTTTCTTTAAAGTCTCTTTCCATTTTGAAGCCCAGCTCTTGATCCCTGTAGGACAGGTTGATTTTAAGCAGCAGTCAGAAGGGCGCTGGGGCTGCCCTCACCAGCAGCAAGGTGTGAGCTCACTGCCACGTGGCTGCAATAAATATGGGCATGGCACCCGCTCCCATTTCGGAGGCAAAACAGCACATGTGAGGCGGCAGTGCAGGCAGCACGAGGAAGAGGCAACGTGGGAAGTCGGTGTCAAATGCCATCTTCCCCTCCACAGCAGCACCAAAGCTTTGGCTCAGAAATGATCCACCGCTGAGGCACCAGCCAGCAAGAGTGGGCTTGGCCCTGGGTATTTGCAGCAGCCTTGTTCTCCCAAACAAACAAACAAAAATTTGATTGCAACAGACTAAGTTTCACAAGGCTGTGAGGCATTGAGCGTCCTCCTTAAGCTGTGTAATTCAATCGTGCAACCTTCACTGAAAGTAACCTGCATCAGGCTATAGCAGTTTGCACCCAGAGATGTGCGACTAATGTGATGGGCAGTGTGTGGGGTAATACTGGAGGAAGATGCTGAACACAGGGCTTCATCCTGCCCCAGCAGAGCACTGTTTGGGAGCTGGATCACTCAGTGTAAAGCCCCAAGGCATGAATAGGCTAGCTTGAGATATGCCAGGGCAGGAACACAGATTGCAGTGGCACAGAAATTGAAGTTTGCTGCTTTTCATGCTGCTGTTCTCACCCCCAGAGCAGAGACGCTTGCCCAGCCTGGCTGAGAGCAGGGCAGCAAAGCACTTGTCCAGGTGAACTGAAAGCCGTTCTGTCTCAACAAACAACTTCACGATAAAGCCTATAAATACAAAATGTGAACAGAGAAGATTCTCCTCACTGGATTATACGTCTTCACTGGTTGAGGAGGTATAAGGTCAAATTCACAGTGTAAGCTGGAGCTGAGCCATTTCTCTTCTGTAAATAGCCCGGGAAACAACTTCCTTTTAACCAGTGCCCCTGATGTATGGCAGTCGTGGTGTGCTGATGATGGGTTAGTGCTTCTCTCTGGCTCACTGCTGGTTCCCACACTGGTGCCACCATCAGCTTTGTGAGCAGACCCTTTGGGCTGCAGCCAAGTCAGAACACCAACTCCAAGTCTGCCGTTGTATAGAGGGGTTTGGTTCTGTTCCTGTTATTTTGCCAGTGTTTAATGAAACTCCAAGAGACAGCTGGGAATTGATACAAGGGAAGAGTGCACCAATATAGGCAGGAGGGGGAGGAGGGGAGACAAAACCAAGGCTGTTAAAACTGCAGCCTAGTCTTTGCTTACCTTCCATGATAGCTCCATCTCTGAGCCCAGAGATGCTCAGGCTTTGAGTGCCAGTTTACAGCTGCATTTCACCTTCTCAGGTTTGTTCAGATGGCTTAATGATACTTCTCAAAAATGAGGCAGGTGTTAGGAAAGATGGACTCTTTTTAGTAAATGTGAAATAGTCCTCTTGGGGAAAATACAAGTCTACTTGCTAACCACCATCTGTCTGTGTTTGAATATCAGATAAATAGCTAGTTGAGCTCTAGAATACTTAGCACTTCGAAAAAAAAAGGATTAAAGGAAAATGTTAAATAAGTTGGCATTTGGCATCAGGCATCACAGGTGTGACTCCTGTACACTTACTTCTTCAAAACTTCTCTTTGCTAGTTGGGAAAACAGTTTTGTCTCATTGGAGGTGGTGAAACCCTGTCTAAATTCTGATTTATGTACATTTGTTCATCAATCTACTGGCTTCAGGTCAAAATAAGCCAGCGCACTTGGAACTATTCAGTTTCAGCTGAAACACAGCTGAAATCTAAAAATGTACGCTTAAATGCCCCATATGTTTTGTAAAAGTTTATTCATCCATCTTACCAAACTCCTCTTGAGTTTCTAGCCTGTGACAGACACAGACATAGAGAGGTATGATGCTTGCCTAAAAGAAGCCAGCATCTGAAGTAGTAGGTGACAACTGTTTGACCTCGTTAGTCAGGAAATGGGGAAGGAAGAAGGAAAAAATAAAAATAAGCGATATGGTCCTCTATAGCAATTTTTACAAGCTTGTGTGTTTTTCAGAAGGAGCACTGATTTCTATCACAGAGACAAAAAGCTATACCAACAGCACAGCATTCAGTGAGAGTTTGACAACAGCACGTGAGTAGAAGTTGCATCTCTTTTGCTTTGTAAGACTGTAACGGGGCAGTTATGAAGCCAGTTATGGGTGCTGCAAAGTGCAAATGTGACACCAACTTAGCCAATGTTGGGTTGCAAACCTCCAGTGATCTGGAATATCCTGCAAATGTACAGCAGCAGGCACTCAGCTCTGCGTGATCCTCAGTTTGTGATGCCTTTGCCATGAATATTAGCTCTGCAGTGCTTATTTTCAGCTGCTAGTTGATAGTCATCAAATCGCCATGCAGAAATTATTACTAAACGTGGAAAAGTTGTGTCCGAGCAGAGGCCAAGTCAGATGGTGTAATCTTTACCAGCTTTTCATACTTCACAGAAGCAATTCCCCTGTTGAGTTGCACTGAGTTAGAAGACAAAGGCTTGCATCTTCAAAGCCATCAAGGATTTTCAGTGGCAAAAGAGGAATGAAAAGACATTTGAGTATCCTGGTTTTATTAGATGTATTTAATTTAATAATATTAAAATTGAGAGAGTTGCTAGGCAAATGTAGTGAGTACTGAGGGTAGTTTATAAATGAAATAAATTACTGGAGAAGCTAAATAAAATCACAGAGCAGCAATGAAACAATGAGATAATGTGGAGCAATAACGGCTGGCTAACAGAACGTTGAAAACCATCCTCATTAAAGATCAATAAATCAATAGAAAAAACCCTAGGGGTAGACATTTTTTCACAAATATTTCCCTTAAAAAAAAACCCTGCTCAGCAGCAGAAAGCTAGAAGTTACTTTATTTTTTATCATCTCGGTTTGTCTTTGCGCTTTAGGAACAGGTAGGACCTGTCAATGCACTTTTGCATTCACACAGCAGTCGTCTTTTGGCTGAAGCGTAAGCGTAGCAGCCGCTTTCCATTTTCTGAATATATTTTTGGCAGCACTCCAGTGCTTATTTAACCGCCTATAACCCACAACCAGGCATTTAGGCCGAAACCTTGTGGCGACCACCTCTAATGCTTCACGACCCTGCTCTCGCACAGCTTGCCGGTTGCCATTTTCGCTAAAAGCGTGCTGAATTACACTGCTGTTCGCAGGAGGTAGCGTGTGCTGCACAGCTCCTCGGCTTCCCGACCGCCGTGCCCCCCCCCCCCCGAGCACCGCTCAGGCAAGGCCTTGAAGGGTCCTCAGCCCCGCGGCTGCAACGGGGGGGCAAGCTCAGAGCAGGGGGGCACCGGTGCGCCCGCTGAGGCATGGCCGGCGTGCGTCCCTGCGCCCCCCCCCCAGGGCCACCGGGCTTGTACAACAGGGATTAACGGCCCTCAGTTCAGTCCTCGGAGGATCTAACGCAAGCCATTATGTAAATAATAATAAGCAGTGCTCATCAGCATGCTGTATAGAGCACAGTGCTACGGGATCTGTAAGTGCATATCCTTTTTTTTTTGTATGTATCGTTTAGAAATGCCGGATCAGTCATGATTATCCCCATAAAATTAAACACCTAATGAACAAGGAGAAAAAAAGGACTGAATTGAATTAATGTCCAAAACTCTCAGTGAATTTTTAGGGTGCCCTAAAATTGGACCGATTTTGTTATGTCTTTTTAATACATACGTACATACATATATATATATATATACAGACACAAACACTTGAGTGCTCCGTTTCAGTCAGAACCAGCATCTCATAAGAAAGGGATTTTTCTGGCTCTGTCTGGTTACTCATTTACACTATTTAAACAGTGGAATTTTTTTCCCGGATTTATAAATCAGCAGTTATACCAGAGACTTTCAGGTATATCTGTTATTTCATTTGTTGTTTGCATCAGAGAAAAGCAAAGGGTATAAAATAGTCACAGTTGAGCCTAATGTAGCAGTCACATACAGGCTTGTAAGATAATTGATGGATATTATTTCTTTTTGTACAGATTTGAATGATTCCATCACCGAACCCCCACAAAGCCTCAGGAATGCCACACACTCCTCTGAGAATACAACCCTGGCACATAGTAAGTGCCGTGGCAGCTCTGGAAATGCTGTGCCACTGTCTAATTGCATATTTTGCTGTTATTTAGGAAGACACAAACACGGAGACAACTAGAAAAAAACAGGAATGTATCCTTAGACAGCACTGATCTTAAACATAGATAGCTGTATTAGAAAAGGAAAAATATCTGTCTACAAACAGATGAAAGATGATTTTTGTGGTTCAGACACAGTACTTGACAGAGGAGACTGAGGTTTCACTCAGTCACGGCAGAGGCAGATTCTTTGTGTTCCTGTTAAGCCACTTAATATCTTTAGCTTTTTCATTACCATCAAAGAGGTGAAAAGCTTATCATTCTCCTAGAATTGCTGTGCAGCTCAATGCTGGCTTGCTGGAACATCTTAATAAGTGTTTTCTAATACCCTTTCTTTCTTTCTTCTAATATTCTTCAGTTTGATAAAAGCACATTTTTTGTGTAACACCAGGGTGTAGGCATCTTGCCAAGTGAATTTTGACACCCTGATTCTGGAATTTTATTTCCAGTCTTCAGCAGGGTGATTAACAGTGGCTTCAAAACAAAACCTTAATTAAAAAGAAAACAAAACAAAACAAGTTACTAATCATGTTCTATGCCCATATCTTTTTAGCTAACCTGTCCTTCAGCATTACAGGCCAGCCAATTTCAGTTACCAGAGGGAAGGATTTGTTTACTACCAGCAGTCTGCTCAATAGTACTGGTGAGATACTATCCTACAAATCCTCTTCTTTCAATGTGCTGTTTCAGTAAGCAAGAAAAACAGAGAAGCACAAAACTTGGAGCGTTGTGTACAGGGCCGGGGGAGCTCAAAAAAGGGGGAGAAGAGATGAAAAGAGGAGTCGCAGCTGCTGTGCCCCCACGCTGCAGGCTGTCACAGGCTTGTGGCGTTCCTGCCTTCCCCCTGCCTCCGCAAGCAGTGTCCCAGCGCATGTTTTCTTCCAGCAGCAAAATGTGGCCGGTCACAGTGGTCTCGGGGGCCGCTCACGGCTTGTGCAGCGTGGTGGACTTCGGGCCCGGCTGTGGCGCTGGCGGCCGCCGTGGCTAAGTCCCAGGCTGGGTGACGTACCGGTGTGACCAACCTGGCAAAGGGTCGGGATGCCAGCGCGACGGGAGGGGGGTGACACTGTGGCGGTATCGCCCGGTGACTCTTGTGCTCCAGCCCTCTCTGGCACCCAGCCCACCGCTGCTCCCCCCACGGCGGCTCCTCCTCTCCTGCCCCCACGTAGCTGGGACCTGGAGGGCACCTCGTTCGGCTGCCAGCACCCCCACGGGTGGCTCTGCGGAAGAGGGGCAGTGGGGGGATCCCAGCACCGTGGTGGGGAGAGGCAGCTAGATCAAGGCGGGGATGCTGCGCCGCCAACGAGAGCCCACCCTCAAAAGGCAGCTGCACCCTTGGCAAGACGTTTTGGCAGGGTTTGGTGTCAATGGCACGAAAAACAAGCCGGTGGGAAGGAGGGGTGGGGCAGGCAGCTCTGCCCCGCTGCACCGCGACATGCTTCCTCCTCTCAGAGAAGGTCATGGGGGAACAGAAAAAAAAAACACTGGTTTTTGGATGAAACACTTGCCAGGCTGTGCCTGAATAATAGGGTCAGGTGAACCAACGGGTGGCTGAAATCAGCCCGCAAACCCAGTCAGAAGGACAGTGGGTTAAGTCCATAAATTAGAGCTGCCACGCTCAGAGTTTGGGATCCTCAGCCCGGGAACCTGGCAGCACGGTGTTGATTCGGGGCCGTGCGCCCAGGGAGGAGCAGCCAGACGCGGGCAGCAAGCCCAGGTTGCCCTCCTCTCTGAGGGCATTGGGCTGAGTTCTGTCTCATGGGTCTTTTCCAGGCGGCACGAGGAACGCAAAAGCCAGTCGCTTCCCCTGGCCGACAGTGGTAGCCGTCCTGCTCCTCTTCTGCAGCTTTTTAATAGCTTTAGGCATCAGGAAATGGTGTCAGTACCAGCAAGAGATGTAAGTACTAGGGAGGGGAACCTCAGGGGTGGGTGGGCTGGCACAGAGGGCAGCACAAACTCTAACCCAGCTGTTCGGATTTACACATTTTCCTTTGACACTACATATAGTGCGCGAGGCCTTTACGCACATGGATCGCTAATGCCATTTTTTTTTCACTCAGCAGTATGGCATGTGCAGTGTTCTTAGTCCTTTTGTCTGTTCTGTAGGTTATCTATAAAATAAACTTTGAAAAATGAGCTGTGGTGCAGCTTCAGGGTGTGAGGGAAGAATACAAGTAAATTTTTTTCCCCAGAGCCCCCCACTTCTATTAGCCTCCCTGCCAGTCGCTTTTGCTCCCTCATTTTGCATGGTTACTCGAGGACACGTTTTAATGAAATTGTACTTCTACGGCAACTGTATTTGAGTTGTGAATAATATATGTAAAAGCAGGCTACCTGAAACTTAAACCCAGTCAAAGAAGCAACGAGTTTGTAATTATTACCAAACTTTAATTCCCTACTAAAGCACTTGGACATCTGTTGATGAAAGCAGTATCTAAGTGCCAATTATTTTTAATCTTACTAACATTACTAAAATGTTTGAAAAATTATGGTGGTAATGAGCCATTTGTGGTTCTAGAAAACCCTTTTGAAACATGACTGCAAATCCTACACTCTGAAGGTAAAAATTAGATTGATTTTTTTTCACTGATTTAGGACAGGACCTTTCTTTATCTTGGCCTATAAATTGACCAAAAAAGAAGTTATTAGTCTTTAAATATACCTTCAGAGAGCAGTGTGAGCAAAAGATCTCTGCAAGGGTTTTAAATGGTTCACCAGGACCATGATCTGTTCTTTTAAAGCGTGAATAAAATAAAATTGTGAGGTGGGAGCTGAGAAAGCCAAATGAATACCGGGAGGTGTGCTGGGGCTACAGAACAGAAGCAGGGAAGTCGCAGTATGTACGAGCAAATGTCAGGGGTGCCTATAATGACTTAGAGTCCATCTACCTCCTCCTGTGAATGTTTTACAACAGTCTTTTATACAGCTTTTGTGTGACAGCGCGTTTTTTCTCTTCTGTATCAGTATGAACAGGCCTCCATCTTTCAAGCCACCGCCACCTCCGATAAAGTACACCTCCATGCTGGAGTCTGATGGGACTCCCCCATCCTGCCATGAGCTGGAAAACCTGTAACATGGCCTACATCCCTTGTGTAGTGAGCAGAAGACTGACATGGTTAAAAGGCTCTGTCTTTAAGATAGCGATTACAGGAGTTTGGTGTTAATGACCCATATTAAAATTCAGAGTGCCTAAATGACATTAATGTTGGAAGCTGAGCACTCCTGAGGACACTTACTTCAACCGTCTATCTCTATGTATGCATTACGTTAACACCATTGTGAGTGTCACCATGAGATTACATGTGCTTAATTTGAATTGGGTGATCAACTGGGAATTTGCTGTCTTGTTAATGGGAGCAGATTAACACATCACTCCGCCAGCCTGCCTGAAGAGTGTTGAAGCCTTTTGTACAGAGATGACAGCTCTGCCGTATGGACACCATGATTACACGGAAAATGTTGGCTTAGCACAAGCTTTTTGATACCTTCATGAGCCGTTCTTACAATTATTATTTGTTACTATACAAATATAGACTAATATTGACCCAATGTATAATTTCCTCTCGCTGTGAAACCAAACAAAAAATAATCAGCACCTTACACAGAAAAAAAAATAGTCCACATATGTTGTCACGGGGTTGCAACACAGGATCGTGGCGGGGGGCCGGTGAGATGAGAGGTCACGGTGCCGGCCTGGTGGAAGTGTTTGTGAAGAAGACCCAGTTGCCACTGGTGAAGCCACAAGAAAGACTGAACTTTGGGCTCATGTACAAGTCACCTGTGGACCAGAGGCTTAAGGCCTGAAGTGAATAAGGACCCTAAAGATAATGGAAAATGCCAGTCCTTTTGGAAATGTTGTGCTTTTGAAACAGTAACTACTCCTGAGTCTGCTTTTCTGAAATGATATTTATGGTACGTATTAAAAAAAAAAAAAAAAAAGGGATATAATTATTTTATTCTCCTTTGGTCTTAATGAGCTTCTGTCATTTGCTACCTTCACATTTATCAAGACCTCAGGGGTAGTTTCCCAGGTGGCTTAAGCCTGCGGAAGGGACGGTCCAGTGTTACCCCTGTCCTGCGCAGGCTGCGTGTTTCCTTGCATCGACACTAACGATTAAATGCCGGTGCTGAGGGCGGGATCAGCTCAGCCCGCAGCACAGCTCGCAGCCAGGTCAGCAGCTGCGTGGTCACTAACGCGAGGCACAGGCGCTGCAGCAGGAGCTGCGTTTGGCAGCAGTGTGGTCTTCCGTTACCTTCAGCCGGCCAAGAAACTGTCCCTCCAAGCTTGTTTGCAAATGTGTTGTTACCACGATGGTATTTCTGTAATGAATGCAAATCAACTAAAATTCAATCATGTCAAGCTTAAAATTGGTATTCTGATTTAGGAATGGGATTTGCTTTATTTACTGCTAAATGCCGGTCAATGGCTATCAGGGTTCAGAGCACTGCATTTCCTGGGACTTCAGATGACTTACTGGAAGGAATGATCTGACAGACATTTTTAAAGTATTTTGTTCTATTATTTACCCTATACCACAAGCAGTTCTAAATCCATCACTGAGGGAATATCTGTGCTGAACAGAAAACACTTTCCTTCCTACAAAACTATACAGACTTTGCATGCATGGAGGGCTCAATATTCATTTGAACGTTTCTTGTCTGTATGGGTTTACAGAAGCAAAGTAGTTTAACTTGTGTCATACTAGCAGTCACTGCAAAAGAAGGCAGCTTTTTGTTCTCAAAAAAAAAAAAAGTAATCAGGAAAAAAAAAAAAAAAAAAAAAACACAAAACCCAAACAAAACAAAACAACAGAAACTGGATAGCCGTATTGCAAGGGATGTGGAGAGCCAGGGCTTTCTTCCTTGTCACTAGAGGAGGATGGCTGTCCGTAGCATACCTGTCGATGAGGGGTTCCTTTATCATCTCTCGAATCTCGTAGCCCCCACGGGTGGTTCGGGCACAGGGAGCCCGGCTGCCGGGAGCTTCGCCCCCTCCCCTGGCCTGTCCTGACCCACCCCCCAAGGGCGGTGGCCGCTCCCACGCGCCCCGCCCACCGGCGGAAAGACCTCCAGCCTCCCCCCCGGGGCGGGACGGGGGGTGTGGGGGGTGGGTTTGGGGTTGGGGGGGGTAGGGGTGGGAGTGGGGGTGTCTTCCTCAGCCCCTCCGCCGGGGAAATACCGGCGCGCACCGCCGCCGCCCAGCAGGTGGCGCCGCAGCACCGCGGCCCGGGCCCGCTTCCGCGCCACCCCCCCCCCCCCGCCCCCCCCCCGTGCCTCCTGCCCACCCGTGGGGTGGCGGGCGGGGAGAGGAGGAGGATGTGTGCCCCCCACCACCACCCCCCCGCAGGTCCAGAGTGGGGGGGCAGGGGAAGGGGCAGCCGTCAGGGCGTGACCTGGGTGGAGAAAGAGGGAGAGAAAAGCCCCGCCTGCACCTGCCCGCCCTCAACTTCCCACTTCCCGGCAGCTGAAGAGAAAAAAAAAAAAAAAAAAAAGAAAAAAAAGAAAAAAATTAACAAAATAAACCCAAACCAAAACCATAAAAAAAACCAAAAATCAAAACAAACAAAAAAACCCCAACAACACAAAAACCCCCAAACAAAAGAACAAAACAAAACCAAACCCTCTCAATCATTTATTTTTGGCATCGGCAGCACCAGTACGTAGGCTCAAATTGTTCAGCTTGGACTTGGGTTCTGTCAAGCCTGGAATAATTCGGCCCACATCAAGTTACCAGATGCTTGAAGATGGCTACAGGAGTGTCAGATACAAGCTTTTCTATAAGAGTAAAGTGTTCAAAGCCTGCTGCGTGGGCATAGAAAAGATTTTTTAAGAGTCTTGAGCATTAGGTTGCTAAATGACAATCCATGACAGAGTGAAACCTGTAAAACAGACCCGAGTCAGAACCTCAGGTCACGTATAACACAAATGTAATACTGTGAAATTAGCTGGGTCTGATGTATATGGTCTTTAATAACTGCATTCCACAGCTGTAAAAGCAACATGCTGGAAAGCTAAGCAGCAAGCTGGTTTTACGTACAAGAGGTTTTCATATGCTTCTGTGGAGGCAGCAAAAGTTGCAGGGGTGGAGAAAACCCTTGGATAAAAGCAAGGAATTTGTTTTCAGTATTTGTTTTCAGTTCCCAATGTGCCTTGGTACACCGGAGTCAGCGACGGGGCCTGGGGGACTTCCGTGGAGTGAGTGACTTTTCCCAGGGCTCCGCTGTTGGTATCCCTGCCGCTGGCACCCGCGTGGTGCTGGGCCCCGCTAACTGGGGCCGGGGTAAGGGCTGCCGGCCCCGAGCGCGTGGGGTGCGTGGGGCGGGAGGGCACCCTCAGCCTCCGCCCGGTTTCCACCCCTCTGACAGAGCAGGGGTCAGCCGGGAGCTTAGAGGATGCCCTGGTCCTGTCACGCCTGACAGCCGTCCCACCGAGCCTTCATCCTCCTGAATTACCTTTTGCCTCCCTCCCAGTCACGCGACGTTTTTAAACAGCGTTGCAGTGGCTTTTCTTCCAAGGTACCTTTTGGTCCTGTAAATTAATTAAGCTCAGCTTGTTTATTTAAGAAGCACCCCTCTAGTTTGCACGGTGTGCTCCAGCCCTTGGGATGCAATGCCGGCTGCGGGAGAGCGCGGGCTGCCTGGTGATCCCAGGGCCGGACCCATTAATTAGCAGTTGCTGATAACAGGCTTGCCGCCTGGGATTTCCTGGGGAAACAGCCCATCTTAATACGGAATCACAGAGTTTTCTCTTTTAGGGAGATGTTTTCCTCCTTGCAGCTGTGTTGAAAGCCTCGTGAAGTGCTCCGGCTTAATTTTAATGTACGTTTTTGTTTTAAAAATCTGCGTACAGAAATTATACCTGCTTACCAGAGCAGGGTATTCATTACCTTAGGTAGTCCTTCCCGGATTTAAAGCCATCACTTATCAGAGCTGGCAAATGTTAGAAAGATCTGTATACACTTAAACTCCAGAAGAAGCAGTATATGAAGGAGATATTTTGTTTTATTTATGGTTTATGTTAGTAGGTAATTCTTCCTGAATCTGCAATTAACTTTGAGCAATAAGCCAATGGAAAGCTTCTAAAAAGCTCTGCAGAGGGGATAATGATTACTTAATCCTGTCTAAGGAGATTTTAATGGAAATAATATGAAATCATATTATATTTAAAATGATTCCTTAAAGACAAGACAAAGCTCAGGGAAGTCCCCAGAAAAGATTATTTGATTTCAGAGAACATCGGATTATGTCTTTAAAACTCCTCTTCCATCTGTTTTCTAGCGTATGGCGTTTCACCTCTGTCCTTTCAAAGTCTCCTGTACAAGGTTGCCCCTGCAAGATTTTTAATCAGTGGGGAAAAAAAAAAAAAAAAAAAAAAAAGTATCTGTTTGCCCCTTGGTTCCTTTCCAAACAGGACTTCCAAATTAACTCTGGCATCCTACACAGCTTCAAACACCCTCATGTGGTGTAAATGAAGTATTGAATAGCTCACTATTGTCAAACAGAGGACTCACAGATGCCAGGGTTTGGCTTAAAGAAATGAGCAAACAAAGGCGAGAGAGAGAAGCAGGTAATATATTGATATGAACTCGCACCCAGGCTATGAGTGGCGGACAGAAAAGGGGGAAGAAGTCGATATTACAAAGGGTGTATTATATGATAGACATCTGAGTATTTGCAATGGACTTAGGAAATGCAAAGAAGTGCTGTGATAGTCACGGTGATTTTCTGACTTGATGTAAAATGGGAAATGAATACCACTGGTCTGCTGCACTTGAAGAAGCAGTGTTTTAAATGCAGTGATGCCTGCAGAGCTTTGTGATTGAATGCGTCTGATGGTTTTAAATGTTAAATAATTCCATTACAGTGAGGGTAAAAACAGTAATGAACAGCTTGGAAGAGTCTGAATATACTTACATGAAACGTTGAGCAATTAGCTTCTCTCTGTGAGAGTGAATCCTGCAGTTTTCTTCCCATCAGTAGCAAAGTGACCTTTAAAATACGTGGATGACACAAAAGCCGTTTCAGTAACTTATTTGACCTATTGTCTGCTGATAAATTCCATGTAAGGATTTAGAATTTACACGGTACAGTAGATTTTGGATGGAAATTAAAGATTTTGAAAAAATTAACTGAAAACTTTTTAAGAGTAACAATGTGCCCTGCTGAATAATGGGACGTGTGTTATCAGGGTATTCAGTGTGGTAAGGAGAAGGAGGCTAAGCTCCCTGCAGCACTTGATGTTACCAACTTGTTTTCAGTTGCTTTAAAGTACTTTTAAAAGAAGTTCATTGTTCTGGCTTTATATTCTTTATATGGCAGCCCAAGAGCCACGTGTTAAAAATAAAATAAAACACATTTGTGTGTTTGGGAGTGTCTAACAGCAAAAAACCATATGCCTCTTACTGCTTAAATATCATCAACCTGATCTGCACAGCTAATCTGTTTACTATGTATTTGAAAATAGGAGGGTTAGGGGTATGGGAATGGGATTTGAGCTGCTAGATTGTCTGGGCTGCCCAAGACATTGGCTTGTATTCTGCACCGAGGCACAGGGGAATAACTGAGCTCTTTCAGTAAATCCACATAAGGCATAAATATGGCTACATAATCTGTTGGGAAAGAAGGATAGTAAAGTTTTAGTCAGGCCATCCTCACTGCTGAAAGTGATTCATATGTGAATGCTCCAGTAATGTGGAAAAATACAACCACCTACTGACCTTGATATAGAATTTTTAAAAAACATAGATTGCAGGATGCTTTCCCTGACTGCTTAGGCATTAATTTTTGCAGCCACTTAAATACATGCTTGAAGTGGAGCATTTGAACAGTCTTAAGTGACAAGACCCTAGATAATTTGTGGGTTTAGTCTGCGGAAAATAAAATTGTATTATTAATGCCTGTTTGTTCCCTCTGGCCATCTCAACTAATGCTCATCATTGCAGGGTTTGGTACTGATTACAGAACAAAATTACAGAGTTTTGTGGAGATAGAAAGAAGTTGAGGTTTTGGGGAAGGGAACAGGCAATTTATGCTCTTCTTTTCTAGAAAAGCGCAGGAGGGATTTTAGGACCCTAAGAAAGTTCTGCCAGCGGTTACTGCCAGCAAGTGTCTGTGGATCGCATCTGATGCTTGCAGCTGAAGTCTCACCCTGCGGTGCTGAATGGATGCACCTCCTCCTTCTCTAGTTGTCCTGGTTTTGAGCTGTTGGTGTGACATCCCGCACAGTCTAAACGTCCTTTGCAGCTTGGAGGTCTGGAAACTACCTTAACTGCAAGAGCCAGGGCATACTCATGCTGCACGTCATAGCATGGGATGCTGAAACGAGCTGTGAACAAACGAGAAAGTTGCTGTGCTGCGGGAGCACTGGCGCACTCTGATGCTGTCGCATGCTCCGGTACTAGTAAAAAGTGATGGAAAAGGGTCAGAGACTTTGGGGAGGCCTGAAGGGATTGGGTTTGAGACTCTCCCCGCTCCAGCTTTAGCCTCTTTCTTCTCTAGCTGGCCTGATGGCAGGCGACTGCGAAGACCTGCTCTCCTGGTAGAGGTTACTGCCCAAGGTGGTGGCAGTTAGACTCCTTTTCCCACACCAGAGCACACCCTAGCCGCTCCCCTTCAGACTCTGCTCCCTGTCGCACACACTCCAGCTTCTTTACGTCACTTGAGAGTTGGGAGGTGCAGGATGGGGCCTGGCAAGGGCACCGAGAGTGCCGCGTCAGCGCTCAGCCCTCATCCTTTTGGCTCCAGGCTACAGCTTCGGTGTTTACAGTCTCGCTGCCCCCAGGGAAATACCAGCCCAAAGACACCAAGATGTCCTCGAGAACATACCAGCCTTGGTGAAATGGCTAGCCCTGTGCTACACTGGTTGCCACCCATGTCGGAGTAGTTCACACGCACTGGTGTGCTGGGCAGTGCCACGCTGCGGCGGCGGGAACGCGCCAGAGGGGGTGAAGTAACGTAAAGTAGTGGTGTAAAGGAGATAAACTTGCAGGGATACAGGCCACTCATATAGCTAACAGAAAATGCTGGAGCTCCCAAATAATCACCCTTCTTTCGGTTCAAGATACACACTGTATTACAAGAGAAAATGTTTATGATCCCATGCCTACGGCTTTGCACAGTGTGGCCTGCTTTCTCCTACATCAGAGGCAAGCACACTCGATGGGCTTAATGGGAAGGGGGAGCAGGGCTGCAGGACAGCCGAGTGCCTACCAAACCTGTATTTGTCCTTGAGAGCAGGGAGTCCTGGGTCAGGGGTGCCTTGTGAAAACCTTTTATTGAAACTGCACTATTTTTAATATTGTTCAGTATCACAGCTCTAGAAGCAAAATGCCTTTGCTCCCTTTCTTGAAAAGGAAAACGCATATTTATGGAAGGAGATAGATTCTGGTTGTATTAGGTGAAAATACATACTTAGCGTACATGTATTTACAGATACATTAAGTTTATACATACTTTAAATATATAGTTCAATTAGTAGTTTTACTGTGTATGAATTAAAACATTCTGCGACTAATGTGCAAACTTTAACAGGTCAAATGAGAGAAACTTTTTATCAAAATAGTATTTCTTTTTAAATTCTGTTTAAAATGTTTCCTTACGGACAAAACAGGGGACTCACAAAATGTATACCCTTACTATTTAATATTCAGCTTTTAGTCATCTGACAGTGAAAAATTATCTTTCAGAGCAGTGTTATTTTTTTCCACTACAATATGATGGAGTAGACTTCAGCGTTGTATGCCTAGTCATTTCTATGTCCTGCGTGAAGAGTATGGAAATAATATATTTGCACGTATTTGCAAGAAGCAGTTGAGCACTTGCTCACCAGGCATCCTCCTTCAAAGGTATGGAATGACACCACGGGGAAAAAATGTATCTTAGAAGATCTGTTTCGTACATCGCAGCAAATTCAGAAACGGGTTTGGACGAGACGCTCTACGTGACAGCTAGATGCAGTGCGAGGGAGAGCGTGTGCGCACGGGGCGGGCATGGCGAGGGACCCACAGAAAAAGCCCCTGGGCCCGTGGGAAGGACCCGTGGAAGGGCCCAGGGACCGGGGCTGCCCAGTCGCGATCCTCAAACCTGCCGCTGTGATGCCGACCCGCCGGGCGCGGCGTGGAAATCGCTGCAGCCCCCTCGCTCACCGGCCACCCGACATCGCGGGGCCGTGGCGGCGGCCCTCTGCACCGGGGGGGGGGGGTGGGCTGGGGGGGGGCCGCTGCAGTGGAGCGACCCTCCGAACCCAAACCCGCAGCGGCTCCCCGCTGTTAGCGCGGCAGGGGCCGCCACCCACGGCCGCGCAGCACAGGGCTCCACGGCAGGTGCCGCCGGCGGGCTCAGCGGGGTTTGGATTCCAGGCGGCGAGGGGCAGCGGGAGCCCCGCGCGGAAGGGAAGACGAGCGACGGTGACGGCCCCCCCTGGCGTGGCGGGCACGGCGGGCCGCGGGCTCCCACGCACCCAGCGCCGCACCCCCCCGCGCACAGGCCGCGGCACCCACCGGGGCGGGGGGCGGGGCCGAGTGGCAGCGGGGCGGGGCGAACAGCCGGCAGCCAATTGGCGGCCGCCGGAGCGCTGTGACGCGGCCGCACCTGTTACATAAGGGGGGGGGGCGGGGAGGAGAGGGGCCTGACCGCCGCCCCGCTCCGCCCGGCCCGGCCCGGCCCGGCCCGGCGCGGAGCCCCAGGGCGGGGATGGGGCCGCCGGCCGGAAGGGAGGGAGGTGGCGGCGGCCGGCGGCGGCGGCGGCGGCGGCGCGGGGGTGCCGCGGCAGAGGGCAACGCGGACTGGATGGGCTCGCTGCCGGCGGCGCTGCGCTCCTACCCGCTCTCCAACCTGGCCATCCCGGGTAGGGCGGCGGGGCGGGCCGGGGAGGGGGTCGCGGGGCTGCCGGGCCCGGGCCCGGGGGGGGGGCTGGCGCTCAGGGGGCGGCGGCCCGTCCCCGCCTTAGCGCCGCGGTGCCGGGGGCTCGGGCGGGCGGTGGGGCGCGTGGGGGGGGCCCTTGTTCGGAGCCCGGTTTGGGGTGTGAAGCCGCTGCCTGCGAGCGAGGGGCGAACGGGAGCCCCGGCCGCGGCGGGAGGGGACGGAGCGTTTTAATCTGCCGTAGCGACAGCTGCGAGTCTGCGGGCCGCTGAACCTGCTGCTTGGCTTCGTCGGCTTTGGAGAAGACAGCAGTGACCTCTGGAGGCCCTCTTGAGGGCTTCTCGGGTGGTTCTGAGCAAGGCTGGAAGCAGGTAGGGAGAAAGGTTTGTGGACGGTGACCCGAACAACTGGGGGTTCGTCGAATGGAAGTGTCGTTTTATAGCGAAACCTGCACGTGGCTTGTGAGAGGGTAAAAGAGTACAGCACGGTTGTGAAATGTCCCAGTGTACGGTGTTACAACTGAAGACGCTAAAACACTGTAGTTACTTTAAAATGTCTTTCCCCTTTCCATCTGAACTTAAAGCGACTAACTCCTAAATGTGCACGGAGCTTCCAGTTTAAGAAATTGTCAAGGATAATTGTTACCGGTTCTGGTTTATGGATAGATAAACTGACAGATAAGGAAGACAACAGGTGACCCTAAACTTACTTAGGAATAGGCTGACTTGCCATCTGTAAATGTCAAAAAATAACCTGGTGTTGCTTGCAGATGTCAATAGGGAAGACTTTTGGGGTGACTACTGTAGCAGCTCGTTCTGATACTGGATGTTAGACTCTGGTCACTAGTGGTACAAGCTTGATTTTCATGGCAGTGCCATAGCTTGTCAAAACCTTTTGGGTGGGTATTACATATGCAGAGGCGCTTCCCTAGAAACAGGGTAACGAGCTTTTTTGTGCCAGCAGAGATGACCAAAGGACATTGGAAGCACGTAGAGAAGGGACTACACACCTCCTGTGGGGTACCACAGCACTCACTGCTGCATTCACTGAAGTAGAACAGTTGAAATGCTGTTTTAATCAAAAGTAACACCCTTTCTTACCCTGACAGTAGCAAAAACATTTTATGTAACCCTGTTCATTCAAACAGGAAAGAGGGACAGAAAGGAAGTTCGGTGTTCGTATAAAATTCAAGTGGCTGGTATTTTTTGAAAATGCTTGTGGTGCATGTTTATTTGTGGTCAAAGTTGGTGTATTTTCCCACGCCTTTCCTGCATGTCCCTCATGCAACCTGCCAGCAGGGAAGAGATGTTTCAGGTAGGCATTTTGGGAATGTTATCTTTTTTAGTATTTTAGTCCCATGATTATTTTGCTGAAGGGGATTTTTGGTGTTGTGCTTGACAAAGCAACTTTTTTGGGAGCCAAGGTGGTGTTACTGGTAGTGTGCAAGGAAAGGATTGTACAAATCAGGTTGCAGTTGAGGGATCTATTTACAGATGCTAAATAGCAACAAAGGCCAATGCTGTCTTCAAAAGAGAGATGAAGAGTAGACATCAGCTCAAATGAGAAGAGTTTTTGTCTGTGCTTAATACCTGTGTGTGCGTATGACAGGTGCAGCCTGCTTTTGTCCACTGCTGGATGCACTAGTTTTCTCCGCTGGAGCGATGGACTCAACTGGTTTTGTTGCTTTGGTTTGCTTTTTTGGTTTGGTTTCCCCTCCCTCTTCCCAGTCACTCTTTGTATGTAGGAGCAGAGATGTAACTATAGGAGTTGAAACCTTAAAACTTGTTTTAAGCTGAAATAAAGTCAGCATTCAAAACCATGAAACTGTTGTTTGGTTTTGTTTGTTTTTTTACCTTGTTGCACTTCGGAGAATTGCAGCGTTTAAAGAATAAAAGATTCTACTTTTTTTAAAAAAGGACAAAACGTGGGTGTAATGGGGCTATTTATAGCGAACTAATTGATAGCATACACAGAAGAGAAACTGCTTAAAGTCAATTTATTGTATGATATTGTAAGTGGGAAAGTGTTACCTTTCTTATATGAAGTTAAGGACGCCTGCACGGAGTTCTGCTTTTTTATTTCTTGCAAACAGTTCTGCTTTTTGAGCTGCTTGTTTTCACTGGCTTTAAAAAAAAGGCAGTTATGACGTTTGGGGGGTCCTTTTTCTATGATTCCCTGAGCTATTCAATGTGGTGTGAAAACTGATACCTGAGGGCAGGGAAAGTCATTCTCTGCTCAATCCTTAGAACCAACTGGTAGCAAATGATGCTGAAGGTGGGTATTTCATGAAGTATACCAGTATGGGGTTTACATTCTGATTTAATTCTGTGCTCAAAATGGAGTGGGACTTTGAAAAATTTAGGATCATCTTCCAGAGCTTGGATGCAGGCAGTTCCTGAGTTTGTCCTTTTCTGTTGTTTCTATTGAAAAAAATCTAGACAAAATGTTAAAGGAGTTTAGTTGTGTCCAAGGAAAAGATGAGGTTTCCCGTGCCATGTCATGAGAAGGGTTCTTTTGCAATGAGGAATTACTGAATATCAGGTAACTAAAATGGTATTCACTTACACAGATAGGATATAGTCAACAAAATTAACCACTTTGATCAAGTGGTGACTTTCTGTGAAACTCTAGAGGGTTTTCTCTTGGTTGTACTCCTGACTAATCCTCTTTGGATGTGGGTTTAAAAATTAACTCTAAAACATTTTGATTGTGAATGTGATCCTTGGCAGGGTATTATATCGTATAGTATTTGTTTAATCTCAAGCAAGATTACTTTAAACAATTTCATGAAATCATGTGCAACTGTGACACTACTTTCCTTGGCCATCTCCTGTTAGTTTTCTTATTTCCCCCCTGAGAAATGGAACACATGAAAAAGCTGCAATGCTCTCACTGATCTGCTTTTGAAGTAAATTAGCTATTTAAAGAATTTGCTGGAGAAGCCTAACCTGTTTCTTGTCTGTACTTGCACACTGGTAATTCATAGCACAGTGGCATGTCCAATTTGTACTGTTTCATTTTAACTACTCTACCTTTCTAAGTAGTTTTCACAGTATCATAATTAACTAGGTGCTAGAGTCTTAGAAATCTCGCTGCTCGTGAAGATACAGCACCGCTTTCCAGTTTCATCAAGCTTTTGCATAAATTGTATTAGGACAGGTGAAACACTTTTTCTGTCTTAAGATCCACTTTTTGAGATCATGATAAGCTTGTGCCTGTTACTTTGAGATAGCAAAGCAATCTAGCAGACGTTTGCTGCCAACCATCAGTGTTTGGTTATTGAGGGTTTTATTAGTCTAGCCCCCAAGGTGCTGGATGAATGTGATGAGCAGAAGAGTAAGCAGTTTTCCTTTGGGTCTTGGTAATAATGCATTTACTTAATTCTGTCTGAGTTATTCCATCTTTGAATAATTAGGAGCCATGATGTAACAGGTAGGTATACTTACAATTTTTGATTAAACTATCCCTAGACTTGTCCCCTCTTCTGGTCAGGATAGTCAGCTGTGAGTTCTTCCCCAGTGCTGATTTTCTTTCCTTGTCTTCTAGAGGAAATTTATGATGACCTTAGTAGGGATCTACTGCTTCTTGCAGGAGCACCCAGAATAGTTACAGGTGCCCTTTCATAATGCAAGTAAGCCAGTCAAATGCTGCTTCTGTTGCCTGCCTTCCTTCCGCTATTCGTACAAGTACCTATAAGTGTGTTCAGCAAGCTAACCTGATGGAAAGCTTTTCTGTGTTGGTGATGATGTTTTAGAAGGGTTTGGGGGTTTTTTTGAGAAGTGGTACCTGCCAGGAAAACGTCTTGAAACCAACTGTTTGTGGGATTGGGCAAACCCCTGGGTGGGTGTCGTGAGGGAACATGAAGGTTAACCTGATGTGTCATGGTGTTGCAGATGTAGGCAAGAAAGAACAACAGGTTGAGTGGCTGTATTTAGAGAACATGGACAATTATATTTTCTTTCATAGATCTTTGGTGAAACACCTGCTATTAGTAAAAAGTAAGCTTAGTTGGGGAACAATTAATCTGAATCTGAACCAAGTTCAGTTTGGAGTCACTTGAGAGCTGAAAAATAGAAAATGCAGGAAAAGTGGTTTATTTCAGCACTTTGAAATGTGATATTAAAAAAAAAGCTTACACCAATGCTTTTGTCTTAGAGTGTAAGATTTCTTTTTTTTTTCATCTTGAAATATAAATGTTTCTGTATTGTAGGTCAAACTTTGTACCTATTTGAAACACTGAAGGAAATTTCTGCCACCAAAAATCAATTTTTCAGCTACTGGTACACCTGGAGCTGAGTGTCACACTAGGCAGGGTGCTCCATTGATGTGGAACGTGCGGGCAGAGCAACCCGCCTCTCCGGGGAGAGGTAGGGCAGCTCTCTAGCCATGGCCTGGGACCGTGCCCAGAGCCTTTTCCATCGCCTTCTGGTGATCCCAGCTGGTGTGTGAGCTCTTCCCCCCGAAAGCTTGTGGAAGGGTGACCAGGATCTTATCTCTAAGCCGTGCAGAGCAGTTGGAACGTGGAGCCGTTCCTGCCTGCATCGGGTTGAGCGATTGGTGGAGAGTTGCCAGCGGGAGGCTGGGTTGTAGGTAGCTAGAGCTGATGGAAAAGATGAGTTTTACAGTTCCAGAAGCATTTTCTTTTTAACGGAGAAAATCATATTGGCTTGAATATGGCTAAAATAAGACCATGTTGGAGAGCTGAAGTAGTTGTTAATGCCTTTGGCTTGTCTGTTTGCTAATCTCTGAGGAGACATGTGTCCCTGGCCCTCTAAAATGGTAAATCTGTTTTATGTTCCAAACTATGGCACTAGTCAAGCTGCTCAATTCCCTCCTATGACACATGCACTCTTTTTAATTAACTTTCTAACTGACTCGTAATTGCGTAACTTTCCATAGTTTGTTCATGGTAGTGTCAGTATGACTGTGGCCAAAACTTCCAGTAGTAAGAGGAAGAGCCCTACCAGCCAAGGCCATAGCTAAGTC